AAACAGAAAAACAGAGTGCTCTACTCAGGATAGAGAAGGGTTGGCTCTTTCTCCAACCAATCGTGAAGCAGTTGAGACCAAACCAAATTTTGAGCCGGGATCTTCCTCTGCATTAAAGGCTGAACTAACAGATGGAGTGCAAACTGAGATCTCTGATCCACATGATGTTTCTGCTCTTCACAATAACAGCACAATCAAATGGGGTGAGGTAAAGGTGCGGTCTTCTAAGCGATTCAAGTTTGGCGACTCTTCAGCCGGAGACACATGGCCTACTTCAAATAATTCTGTTCCACAGAATGTTGACCAACCAGATAGTAAGAAGATGCTCAATGGTGATGAAATCCAGCAAACGTTTGAACTGAATTCACAAGAGATTCAACATGCAGTAAATCTGGAAAACCACAAAATTGATGATTGTAGTGAGGATAATTTGCTGGACAAAGAAAGGATAGCCAGTGATAATAATGCTCATGTAGATGAAGGATATGAAGGGGAACATGACCAACAAGTCCATAGTACTCCCCAGACTATATCCTTGAAGCTGAAATTCAGATCAAGAAGCTTTGCAGATGGAGCAGGTTCATCAGACAAATCAAGAATTACTACTGCAGTAGGGAATGACATGAACTCTGAACATGATAAAGGTCATATGCTGCATGATGAGGGTTCTGCCCTTAATCAACATACGAATGATGGCATCCTTACTGTGTCGAAAAGTTTGCCGGAACGCACAGATAAAAGCACTAGTCTGGATGATTCAAAAAAGTGGCACTTAGATCCTGCAAAGACATATAGTGCAGTTTACAAAAGATCAAAGACAAATAAGCACAAGAAAAATTTGGATTCAGATGCATATGGAAATGGGGAGAGCACTTCCGTATCCAATGATGATGACGGTTATCAACCTACAGATTACAGTCCTGTTAAACCTGATAGTGCTACTTTGCGAAGAAGCGCGAGGAGGTCATATGCATACACTGATGATACCACTCAAGCTAAAAATTCTTATAGTTCCCATGAAGCATCAACTAGTGGGAGGCGTATTGTTACAGATGTGCGTGATGTCATGTGGAAATCAAACTCGAAAACTGTTGGTTTGAGGTCTACTAGGAACAAAAGAGAGAGTTCTAACTTTCCTGGTACACATCTATTGGAGAAAAGGAAGCAGGTATCCATGAAGTATTCATGGCTGATGTTGCTAGAGCATGAAGATAGCTACCGTTATATTCCTCAACTTGGTGATGAGGTTATGTACTTGAGGCAGGTAATGTAGTTTTTCGTACTTTATTATACTTGCAAAAAGTATGATGCGTACTACGTCCATATTTTTACTTTTCATCTAGGACATTAGTGCTGTCCCCGATACACACCTTTAAAGTCATTTTAATCCCCCTGGTTCCATAATTCTTGACATTTTGGACAAGATTAAGGTCTAACTTCTATAACTTTGACTATCAATAAACTTTAAAAATATCTACTACCTCCGTTTCAGGTTATAAGACTTTCTAGCATTGCCCACATTCATATAGATGTTAATGAATCTAGACAAGTGTGTCTAGATTCATTAACATCTATATGAATGTGGGCAATGCTAGAAAGTCTTATAACCTGAAACGGAGGAAGTAGTTTACAAGCACTAGAACAACATATGTAGATTTGTCTTACAAAGGTGGTGTTTGAATCTTCTGAAGATGAAGATGAAGATAAAGATTAAGTGTTTCACGTAAAACGAGGTGGTAATAACGTGTGATTAATTGAGTTTTAATTATTACAAACTTGAAAAATGGATTAATCTAACATTTTAGAGCAACTTACATATAGAAAGTTTTCACACGAAACACACTGTTTAGCAGTTTGAAAAGCGTGCCACGAGTATCCAAAATTTCATCTCCGTCTTGTTGGAGAAACGAACAAGACCAAAGTACTATAATAAAAGTAAAAAAGTATTTATTTATTGTATATATTATAATAGAAAAATATTGTCAAAGATATATTTTGAAGACCGTGTCATTGTCCAAAATGTCAAAGAAATATGGAACCGGAGGGACAAACTATTGATATTAAGATATTGATATGAAAGAACTTTCAGTAACAAATTTTACTAACTATATTTTCACATGTCAAACTTAATATTTTTGCAAGTATTTGAGACCAAAGTTTTTAACATTCCATCGCACTCATTTTAGAGGACACATATTTGAATGTATCAATGTAGTATTTATAACATAAACTTTGCACTTTTCTTACTTTCCACCCACACTAATAGGATGGTTGATTTGATGGTGAGGGAAAAATGGACATCAAGTATTAAAATTAGTGGAGTACCTGTACAAGTCACTCCTAGAAAAGCACTCCATCTAGCCATGATAACATTTTGGAAACTGACGTCTCTAAAATTCAACTTTGACCAGTAATTCTTATTATAATATGTTCTGAAGCAAATTACACATGGTTTTCACATATCGAATCACAATATTCAATAGAAATTGACGCTTAAAATTTTGAAGGTTTTTTATCTGGACTTGTCCAAACTCCCAAACATGTTCTCCACATGCACTGTCGTTATCAATGTCAAATATACCTTAAGATTCACACAAACTTCTAAAACTCAAATTAGCCTCCCACCTTATTCTTGCACAAATCTTCAAGCACTTTCAGTGATGAATAGGGTAGTGGATGCACCTGCGTATGCATGTAAATGTGCATTTGTCTTTACTTATGATTCTTCTTTTTGTGCTTGCTATTTTTGTAGGGCCATGAAGAATATCTTAAAGGATCTCGGCAATTGGATGATTGCCCATGGAATCGGATCAAAGGACTTAAAGATGTAGAACTTTGCAAGATTCAAGGTCTAGATTACACTACATTCAGAGGGTCTGGTGAAAGCTGCTGTAAATTAACTATTGAATTTATTGATGATACTTCAAGAGGATTTGGCAGAACATTTATGATCACCTTGCCAGAGCTAGTTAATTTTCCAGATTTTCTTGTGGAAAGAACACGGTTTGAGGCTTCTATTGATCGGAACTGGACTAACAGAGATAAGTGCAAAGTTTGGTGGAGGAATGAGTTAGAGGAAGGAGGAAGTTGGTGGGAAGGAAGGGTATCAGCCGTAAAACCTAAATCACTTGATTTTCCTGAGAGTCCATGGGAGAAATATGTTATCCAGTATAAGAATGATGGTTCTGATCACCCACATAGCCCCTGGGAACTCCATGATACTGGTAATCTGTGGGTCCCATGGAAACATCCACACATTGATCTTGGTATAAAGGACAAATTGCTATCAGAGTTGGACAACTTACTCGAATTGTCTCACAGAAATCAGGTGGAATTCTTTATCAATTTTACATTCTTTTGCTACCCAATTTTTGTTGTTTTGACCTCCAACAATAAATTATTGAGGTTTTACAGGATCGCTATGGCGTTCTGAAGTTGAACAGTGTTGCAGAGAAATCAGATTTCATTAACAGGTAATTCTTCTATTGATTGATGCATTTGTTGCTGATATGTGCGTGTATGAATCTTGTGTTCATCAATAAAAGTGAAAATTTTGATTTCTAATGGTAAATCGTCCTTTGCTAGAAACCACCACTATTTATTTCACCAAACCACTCTGTTTTGTACTCCTATTTCACTACCTTTTAAGATAATATTTGTAAGTCCTATAAAACTGCATGTTATATAAGTCCTCAAAAACCATATTCGTACATATCTTGAAAATTATGTTATAATAGAAGTTGGTGGTGGAAATTGTATTTTTAGACCATGATGATGTCCAAAACATATATTTTGTGCATAGAGAGTTTCTTTTTATGGTGACAAGTCTGATAATGAGCATTAACCATAGATTTAGCTTTTCTTTTACATATGCTTGCCTTTAGTTTTTTTTATTCATATATGCTCATAAAATCATAGGGTGGATGACTAGTATTCTCTCCATCCCAAAATATAGCTACTTAAACATTAAAATTTTGTTAAAATATATAGTAGTACTTTCTCCACCTACCCCTCATCTCAACTAATCACAAACATCTCTTATTTACACCCCGTACTTCCTAATCTCAACCAATCAAAACCATCCCCCATTTAATTTCACTTATTCGAATGTAGCCATATTTTGGGATAGAGGGAGTACTTGTTTATTTGAATAGTTTTGGTTGCATTATATGTTAGTCCAATGACTGATTTTGGTTGCATTATATTGGCATTTTATGTATATATGGTCTATTTAGCAAATTTTCCCATCATCTTAGGAGTTCTTTTTCTCTACACACCTAGGTTTCCTGTCCAGTTTTCCATTGAGGTGATTAGGATAAGGCTTGAGAACAATTACTACAGAACTCTGGAAGCTATTCGACATGATGCGACTGTGATGCTTGCAAATGCCCAGTCTTATTTCTCAAAGAGCACTGATATGACCAAAAAAATTCGGAGGCTATCTGATTGGATCGAACAAACCTTTTCATCATTGTAGAGTGGTGCTTGATGGTTAGTGCCCAGTTAACAGGCTTCTTTTTGTGCAAGCAGAATTTGCCTCGCAGCCACAGTATGATTCTACAGGTGTTACTGCGGAAAATTTTGTTAGAGGAATACTAAAGTAGTTTTCAAGATGCTCAACAGCTTAACACTATTTAATGCATTGTTTTGCTTGCACAAGTTGATCTTAACTAACGCTTCTGATCATTAGATCTTCGTGAAGAAAAATCAATTACCGATTCGACAAAAGGAACATCAAGGGCCTTGTTAGAGATAAAGCTGGTAGTGTAAAATGCACTACCGTGTTATTCGTTGTGTATAGACCCCGTAAATCATCAATAAAAATGATAAAATGTTTATCGTCTTTATTATGCACTCCAATTTCAGGTGTTACATTGGATGATATTCTTCGTCGCTTTATACAAAATCTCGTTTCTCCCACGGGAGAATAGCGGAGGGAACAGTCTTTTGCGCACAAAAACAAATCCGGGTTTCAAGAAAGCTGTTTTTTTTAACCGCTCATCCACGAGTCTCGATTCTGTTGGGTCAAACAAACAATCGAAAAAACTGGAAACCAAACTTGCATCTACAGTTAAAAGCGATTATCCCTTTATCAGTGTTACCTTTCAGATAGCCGAAATACTATGGCACTTACAAAGCGATGATTGTACAGGAGTAATATTTGGATCAGAACTAATCTGGAATTGAGCACTCACGAGCGTCAACCCCAAAAAACAGAAACACCGAGGACAAAAACTCCAGGAAAACATGGTCAACCGTGAGAAACGAGGAAATTTCCTGAGAGACAGGGGTAGTCATCGTCTACGTGGGCCTTGCGGCTCTGAACGTGGGGTGCAGCAACCGGCCGAGCTCCTCGTCGCCGGCGTCTAGCGGCTCGCCGGTCTCGTTCCTGACGCGCCGCACGGCCGTGGTATTCAGCGACTCGTGCGCGAACCCGTACAGCTTCAGTATTTGGTCGTCCGCGAAGTTGAACGCGCGCTCCATGCCGCGCCGGCACCGCTCCGCCGGGTAGCTGTCGGCGTACCTCCGGCACGGCTTGCACCCGACGAAGTGCGTGACGAACGGCCACCGGCCGTCGTCGCGCCCCGCCCGCCGCAGCTCCTCGTACTTGTCCACGATGCCCTCCCAGAACCCGTTGAGGTCGTAGGAGCTCTCGATGAACACCTTGTCCCCCCACCTCTGCCGTTGCGTGACCAGAAGGTAGATGAGCGCCGACTGGTCGTCGGCCTCGAACGGCGGCCGGCCGGAGAGCTCCTCGGCGAAGAGCTCGCCGTACCTGTCTCGCACCGGCCCGCGCGGCCCCATGGGCGCCCACGCGTCGAGCAGGTCGAGCGACCACTGGCAGTTGCGGATGAGGAAGCTGCCGGTGTTGACGCCGATCCAGCTCTTCTCGTCGAACACCTTGGCCTCCCAGCCATGGAGCACGAGGTTGTGCACCGCGTACCGCTCCCATGGGATCTCGAACAGCATGTCGGTGAACACCGCGTCGGAGTCCACCCACCAGATCAGCTCCGCCTCCGGGTGCGCCACCATCAGCATCCGCAGCAGCGGCAGCTTCGCCCAGAACCCCGACATCTCCGCGTCCAGGAACGCCGTGTTGTAGAACACGTCGAGGCCGTGAATGCGGCAGTAGTCCACCTTGTTCTTGAACGCGCGCAGAAGCAGGTGGTCGCCGTCCGGGTCGGGGCACCGCGCCGGCGCCGACCCGGTCACCACCAGCACGCGCGGCCGCCCCGCGGGCGCCACGCGCGCCGGGAACTCCGGGTGCGCCGCCAGCCACGCCGAACGCCGCGCGTCGTAGCCCAGGATGGTGCGCCCCAGCGAGTAGGGCGGGTCCGTCAGCTGCCGCGGCGGCGGGAGGCCACTATCCTCCTCGCTGCTCGCGTTGGCGCCGGCTTGCATCTGCGCCGGCGGCGGAGGCGGAGGCGGAGCCGCCACCGCGACGTGGACGGGTTCGTTGAACACGACGCGGATCCGCGGCACGGTGAAGCTGGAGGAGCCGGTCGGGCCGAGGATGAGGAACAGCGCGGCGACGATGAGGATCACGACGACGACGAGAGGGGCGGCGTCGCTCGCCGAACAGCGTTGGCCGTGCTGCCGGCGGCCGGCTCGCCGGTCAGACGTCACCTTGCCACCGTGCTTCTCCATCATCGCGCGCGATGGCTAGCTAGCTGGGTGACACAAAGGCCGACGTGCCGTCCGGCCGGCGAGCGATCGAGCGTGAGCTGCAACGTTCCACCTTGCAAGTTGCAAGTTGCCGGTCGCATCGCAAGTGGTTGTATATATATTAGTACTAGTAGTAGGCAAAATTTGCTGGCTAAGTAGCAGTCGTGAGCGCACGACGAACGGTGCAAACGAACGTGTCATCGCTGCATCTCAGCCGTCGATCTTGTGGCAGCCGTCAACCCAAGAGAGGAATCCTGCGGTGCAGGCATGTATGGGTTAAAAATACACCATTGGGATCGTGTCGACCGATCGAGTGATCACGATCGTGGCAGGCAGTGATAGGGTTAAAATACTGAGCAGGTAATTTCTGGAAGATTTGGGTTCCAAATCTCGATGGCGATGCAAATTAGGTTAAGAGGCTTTAATTGCCCATGTGCATTTTCTCAAAATTTGTGTAGGGTTATTCCTTCTTCCCAGGTTGCACACTTCATCTGAGGTCACTTAAATTTACACCGAATCCGATTTTCGTCCTTAAACCCTAAAACCAAATATAACCAGTCCCTAAACTATTAAAACAGGTACAAACGAGATTCCTCGGTGATTTGAAAAACGGTTTTGGCTGACGTGGCGTTTACGTGGTTGGTTTGACTAGAACTTTGTCTCACGTGATATTGATATAGCGTTTACGTGGCAATTCTACTCCAAAAAATAATAAAAACCATGGGCCCACATGTCAGTTAAAAAAAGAATTTAAAAAAGATGGGGCCACATGGACCCCACATGTCAGCCTCACTCCTTCCCTCTCCCTTCTCTCTTCTTCCTCATCCTCACTCCTCTCTTCTTCCATCTCCTCTCTCTCTCCTTCCAGGGGAGCGGATGGGCAGGTGGGTGACGGAGCAGGCGAGCCGCGCACGAGCTGCTCCTTCGACGGCAGCGGCCGCGCGTCACGGGCGACTGCGCCAGCGCGCTGTGTCCTGCTCCGTCTCCGGCGAGCCGCCCACCAGCTCATTCAACACATGCAAGTACTAGCAGAGCACAAAGCCATAGCTAACTAACTAGCTAATTTGCCGATCCATGCAAGCCACTAACATGAACATATCACATTGGTAGCACCAGCATGTCTAACACATGACGTGATCCAAAAACTAAACAAGCACTAAAGGATCCTATGCAATAAGATTAGTGATAACATGCCCGCCGACGAGCTACTCCATGTTCCTCAAGGGGCTATGCCCTGACGCCTACAGCTACGCCAAGGACGACCAGACCAGCACACCTTGATCACCTGCCCCGCCGGCACCAACTACCGCGTCGACTTCTGCCCTCCGACGAGCGGCGTGATGGCCGGCGATGACGACGGTGTGCGTGGCCATGGCGGAGAGATTTGTGCAGCCGCGGCGGTGGTCCTCCTCCCGCCGCAGGCCACTGCCTCCCGCGGCTGAGCTGCCAGATTTGTGCAGCCACGACGATGATCCTCCCGCCGCCGGCCATGGCCTCCGCGGTGGAGACCGCCGTGAGCTGCCAGATTTTCGTGGCTTCGGCGTCGGTCTTCCTCCCACCGCCGGTCACGGCGGAGACCGCTATTGAGCTGCCGGATTGTGCAGCCGCGGCGACTGTCCTCCTCCTGCCGCCGTTTACAGCCTCAAGAAGCGTGCACTGAGGAGCATCCTGGTGGAGGTGTACGCCGCCGCCGCTGGCGGAGCTCGGACAGCCCGCCTCGCTCGCTTGCTCCGCCGCCCACTTGCCCGTCCGCTTTCCAGGAAGAAGGGAGAGAGAGGAGGAGAGGGAAGAAGAGAGGAGCAAGGATGAGGAAGAAGAGAGAAGGGAGAGGGAAGGAGTGAAGCTGACATGTGGAGCCCACGTGGGCCCTATCATTTTAAAATTATTTTTTTAACTGATATGTGGGCCCACGGTTTTATTATTTTTCCGATGTAGAATTGCCATGTAAGCGCCACGTCCATGCCACGTGGGACGAAGACCTAGTCAAGCCAGCCACGTAAGCGCCACGTCAGCCAAAACTGTCTTCCAAATCTCCGAGGGACCTTGACAGTTTAAGGACCGGTTGTATCTGGTTTTGAGGTTTAAGGACGAAAATCGGATTCGGTGTAAATTTAAGGGACCTCAGATGAACTTATTCCTTATGGCCTCTTTAATGTACAAATTCTGGGCCTTTGTGAAAGCCCATGTAAGGATGTTACTTTGTCTCGAAAATTTCCAATGACATAGCCCAAGCATGAAACTGGGCCGGCCTAAACCAGCAAAAGTGTTTGTGAAATGTTCTCTCTCCTCAGGCCCGTTTGGTAGAGCTCCAAACTCCAACTTCAGTGGGAGATAGCTCCTATAGGAGCTGAGGTGGGTGTGAAAGTGTTTGGCTAGACTTGTTAGCTCCACACCACCACGTCTCTTGTAGTCATTTCGTCGAACACTTGGCTGGCGTCGCCCCGCCGTCAGCCTGCGCACCGCCACTACTGACGCCCGCCACCGGTCAGCCCGCGCGCCGCCGCCGCCATCAGTCCCCCCTGCGCCGCCACCACCCAGCCTACGCTGCTGCCGCATGCCACCTGTGTCGCCGTCGATGCCGTCAGCCCACGCGTCGTCACCCAGGCGGCACGCCGCCGCCAGCCCCCACGCCGCCAGTTGCCGCCGGATCTCGCCGGAAATGATGCGAGGATGGGAGGAGGAGAAGTTTAGGGGTAGTTCGGCATTTCTATGTAAATACATCAAAAAATTAAAGGGTAGTGGGTTTTTTGGGTGGAGTGGAGCTGTGGAGCAGTAAAAACCCAGCTCCACCCCCGCAGTACAAATTTGTGAAGTAGCTCTGCTAACTCTGCTCCAAAAAATAGAGAATCTGTACCGTTTAACACAGCTCCAGCTCTAGATAAGCAGCTGGAGCTGTGCCAAACGGGACCTTAATTTAACCAAAAATATAAAAATAATTCTCAGTGTCTTTTGCCAAATGCCTCTCCAGTGTTGCAGACAACTCCTCCCTCCGTCCCAAAATATAAGAAGTTTTAGGATTGGACACGGTTATTAAGAAAGTAGGTAGAAGTGAGTGGTGGAGAATTGTAATTGGATGAGTAGTGGAGGTAGGTGGAAAAAGTGAATGGTGGAGGGTTGTGATTGGTTGGAAAGAGAATGTTGGTGGAGAATTTGTTATATTTTAGGACAAATCCTGAGGGCTAAAAGTTGTTATATTTTGGGACGGGTAGAGTATTACCCATCCACAAGGCTACAGATACTAGTCTACTAGGTTTTTACCGTTGCCACCATTTGCTCAATATATACAACCCAAGAAGGAACACACCAATCTAAAAATTTCACAAACTCTAGCTACAAACTTGGCCATGGATCACTCCTCACCTTGCTTTGAACTCTTCAAACTCTCCACCTCATAACCAAGAAGACAAAAATAAGCAGTACTTTCAGCGACCACCATCACAATTTCCCAACCATTTTTCTCATTCTCAATACATCCCACACTTCCACAATATTTCATTCCATATGGTGTTTCCCAAGCTTCAACACACAAAATTATCAACCTTATGGAGCTCTTCATCATCCTTTCCCATATGAAGCCAATATAAGCCATTCTCCAACTGGAGCTTTTGGAGCAAGTCAAGCTGGTTGATCGTACTCACCTGTAAAAGCTAGGATTTTTTGTTTATACCAAACGCACCAAAAAAATCATAGAGAAAATTTGGTCTTAATAATATTATATTATACATGCATGGCCCACTTCTTTCGTTATATGGGTTTGTTCGGCAGCCAGGCTGCACTGCACGCTGCTAATTTTGTGAGTGAACTATTATTCGTGTTGGTTCTACTGTAGCAAACACGAATAATACTTATTGTAGGCATGCTTTCTTAAGCTTCCAAATGATGATTTTTAATATAAATTTATATTTATATTTTTTTTGTAGAAAAGACAACTTTTCAACTTTGTAGCTCTTAATCAATTCATTTTGCACTATTAAATATTATCTATTCATATATTCAGAAGAATCAAACTGAAGCAACTGTTGCATATGTTTCTTTCCCCTGCTAATATGCATGTAATATTGTGCTACTCTCTGTCTCGGTCCATTCTAACATATAGCAAAATCTAGCACTAGAATAGACATAACCTATTTTTTCCGTCCCAAAATATAATGGATTTTAAATGGATATATTCAGATTTGTAGTAGTAGAAAATGTTGCATCCATCAAAAATCCATTATATTTTAGAACGGATGGAGTAATATTAGGAATTTGAACATGGCATGTCTCTAGATTCATGATATTAGGTTGTATCATTCCAGTATTACTTCTAATTTGCTTATTTTGTGATGGATGAAGTATCTCTTATTTCATTGTTCTTCTTGAAAAGATGAGTCTTATGTATATATAATCAAATCTCAAAACCTTAAGTCATTAACAAACGCAAAATGTCAGTATTCTAAATATGGAAATCATTTTAGTAGATTTGTCATATTTTTTCCATGTAGCTATATTTTAAATATTTTTACAAATATATAATTTGATGAAAAATACTAATAAAACATGTGCGATGGAGCCCGTCAGACGTCGAAAAGAATCTTTTTATGAACGGAGGTAATACCAAGCAAGCCAACGTGTTTAGATCAACCATATCCACCATCGAGCTAGTTAATTTAGTAGTACAACATTGGGATCGAGACGACAAGTGATAGATCGGGGCAGGCAGTAATCAGAATTAGAATAGGCACTGATCACTGATCAGAATTAGAATACTGACAGGCTCCCCGAAAAAAATAGTACCGCAGGTAATTCCTGAAAATTCAAGTTCCAGATCTCGATGCCTAAGAGGCTTTTAATTGCCCATGTGCATTTTTTACTCAAAATTTGTGTTGGATTTGGTCCTTCTTAATCTTCCCAGTCTAGACACACTTTGATCGATCGGTTATTTCGGGCCCAGATATAGGCCTCTTTGCAATAAAGAAAATTTCAAGGATTTAATTTCTGTGGGAGTTGAACTGAATCATGTGAAAATATGGTACTCCCTCCGTTTCAGGTTATAAGACGTTTTGACTTTGTTCAAAGACAAATTATTTTAAGTTTGACTAAGTTTATAAATAAATATAGTAATATTTATAATGCTAAATTTGTGTCATCAAATCAATAATTGAATATATTTTCATAATAAATTTGTTTTGGGTTAAAAATGTTACTAGTTTTTTCTATATAAACTTGTTCAAACTTAAAATATTTTGACTTTAACCAAAGTCAAAACGTCTTGTAACCTGAAACGGAGGTAGTATAATTTATGTATATAAACTTTAAAAGGAGTGTATTATGTACGCATACTTTTGCTTCCCTGCCACATGCCATTAGGCCATACTCTCTTCGTTTCATATCATAAGTCATTTTGATTCTTTTTAAGTCAAACGTCTTAAAAGTTTAATCAATTTTATAGAAAAAGATAACAACACTAATAACATTGCATTAGTTCTATTATGTCTAACATTGAACTTTTTTTATATATTTTTTATTAAAAATATTACTTATATTATTTCTATAAGCTTAGTCCACCTAAAAAGTTTGATACCTACAAATAAAATTCGAAATGACTTATGATATTTATGATATGAAACAGAGGTAGTACGTACAGTATTACAGCACACTGACCATACCAGACAAGTCAGCGTGTTAGTCTAACCAAGCAAGTCAATGGTCGAGCTAGCTAATTTTATGGCAGACGACAAGTCGGGCACGTGCAGTCTTGCCGACAAATTCGGATTAGCTACAGTATTACGCAGTCATGTTGTTTTGTAATATATGCCGTTTCGGAAACGAGCAACGTTGTTTTTAATTATGTCAGAGAGACTAGTATTCAGCATCCTGAGGTGTCCTTTTCGTTCTAAATATCTCCTTTTAATGCCAAGAAAGCTTTTAGTATTGGTTAAGGAGAGTGCTCAGATCCATAAAATATTGATTTTGTTTAGTACTAGTGCATTATGCTGATTAATTTTGCGTTACCATAATAATATGATTTTTTTATAATAAAAGTTGTCTAATAGTAGTATAATGCATATCATCTTTATATGTATGTTCGAGTTGTCTTTATTCTTAATGTTTGATACTATCACAAGAAAAACATAATACCATACATAGTGGTGCTTGTGATCAGTAACCAAGTGCCTTTATTTTTGGATGGCATGATATCTATCAGATGACATGCTAGAACCTATGTGATTTTCAAAACGTTATTTCAATTGAACCTTTTCTAAAGGGAGTTCGGGTTTATCCCATTATAGTATATATGTATTTTGGGTATCAAAACTTAATGATTATGTTTATGAATGATGCCAGAGATGTAAATTATTTTTATTATAAAAAAAGGTTAGCAGCCATGCTATGATCGGCACATCAAGACACATGCAATACAAAAAATATAAATGCAACAAAAATAGTAGCAGTTCTATGCTTAGTAATTACTCCCTTCATCTCCAAATATGAGGATTCAAATATCTAAATCCTCATAAAGAAAATATGAGGATTCAAATATCTAAAATCCTCATAAATATAAAGTATCCTTATCCCTTCTTTCTCTAACCACCGCCCCCACCTTTTATATGGGAACTACAGTATTTTTCCATTGTCCTTAATTTCTCAAAAACAACCCACAATCCTTTGGGACGGTTGGGGCGTAATATATAGTCAGATTAATATAGAGTACATATTTTTTTAGATAATGGAAGCTTTATTGATCTCAGTCATCTAAGGATAATCCCGGCCTCTGCACCACGACAGTGCATACAGCCAACAAACTCCGACACACTCAAAATAAGAGAAAAAAAAACAGCATACAAGATCAAGGCCCTACAATCCGAAGACTAGGTCGCCACCCGGTATAATCAAAATGTATCAAATGAAAAACTTTGTAAAGATAATGGAAATGTACTCTGTTAATTAGGAGTACACAATAATGATACGACAGAGGATATAGATTAATGTACCAATGAATGTTTTTAATTTTTTAACCTTTTTAATCTTAAAAATAAACCATTCTAAAACTTATTTTCAAATTTTAAACCTTTTGGCCACGCAGCCCGCCCAACGTGAAAAAAAGAAACACTGATACGGCACCGGCTGACATGACAAAAAGATTTAGATTTTAAAATTAGTTTTAGTAGGGTTTATTTTTAGAAATAAAAATTTTAAAGGTTAAAAAAAATCCAATACCAATACACCGTCACCAACTTTATCTTTTCAAGGATTAGAGATTCTGTTTGGTGTCAACAGCTAGCAACGCCAAATCTACATAAACAAATTAAATGGCCAGATTCCTGTACCTGCAGAATTAGATTTTAACAGCAGCTAGTGTACTTTCTTGCTACGCAGAACTTGCTATTTATACGTACACGAATGATGCAGCTAGTAGCCAATTATTAGCCGAGATATCAATCGATACTTCTAATGCTGGTTGTTATGACAGGATCTAATTGGTCCACGTAGCGTCTTGATTTCAAAGATAAATTCGAGTTATCAGAGAAAAAAAAACCGATTTTGCAATAAATCTGTTGACAAATTTCTTCCTCAGAATTTGTCGATTTTTGAACCGCTTGATGAACCTCGGGATTCGTGCTTTTGCGTCGACGCTTTGATTTGTCTCTTTCGACGGCCGCTGGCTACCGGCACTGGCGCGGCTCATGCACGCGTAGATGTCAGACGGAGGGCAGAGATAAAGCGGCAGGGCATAGCCGAACATGCATGCATGAATGATGGCCTCCACACGCATCGAACAAACAGACATTGCGAGTTCGTAATCCCTCTTTCACGTGAGCAGTGCCAAACATAAGTTTTATAACGGTACATCTCACTTACGTGCAAGTATATTATAGTTACAGTGTAATTACATATAAGTAACAATGTAATTATTATAGTTACAGTGTAATTACATGTAAGTTATAGTATAATTATTCTATACTTACAGTGTAATTACAATATAATTATATTGTATTTACATTTGACAAATTTTTAAGAGAAAATTTATCGACAAATGTATAGGTAGTAAAAAAAATACAAAACTGCATCCGGAAGCATCTGGCGTGCGTGATCAGCAGCATGGACAGCTGGGTCTGTTCTCTGTATGGGCCTGGGTGGACTTGCAGTGCTAAATGGGACGATTGGCCTAGCAGATAGCACAAATGGGGAATGAAGATAGATTAAATTTCAGGTTTAGGCATATACTGGAAAATTAACATCAGAAATATTTTTCATCTAAATTATCGGTTATAACTTTAGCTAGATATTTTAGAAAACAAAAAAAATATTTATGGATTTCATAAAAAAATACATCTTTATTCCTCATATATGTCGCCTCAATTGTCAATTTATCAAACACATGCAATATTCACTTTGTTATAAATTAAACCTACATGTCAATTATCAGACGATACTCCCACTAAATGGTTCTTTCAAATATATAATGTTTGCAAAAAGTAAATGGGAAATTAATAAGTTATTATAAGAAAATATATAAAATTCAGTGCTCTTTATACGGGCTAAAAAGACAGCGCGCCAACAGCCGCACTAATTTTTCTAGTTATATATTATATAAGTGGAGAGAATTTTGACGGCGTTATAACGTAGCCAGCCTAGTGCTCTCATCGCCCGTTCTGCTAGTTGGCGAATCAATTCGATTGTGGCTATCTTAAACGCACAGTTCACAACTCCACATGCATTCCGGTGTAACCACTGGTTCCACACATGCTTAACCATCTAGAATTAGCGTGCCAGCCAATATATTCCTTCCAAGTTGTATTGCTCCGTTTTGGCGTCACATTCACGAACCCTACCAAGCCCCGCCGGCGCGCGTATACGTATTTACAATTAATACGACGAAACAGCGAAACTTCCTAACCCCAAATCATCATCAAGCGTGTTAAATTAGGAGTTCGCGTGGTGAGTGTGCTTGATGCGAACGTGTTACCTGCAGCTGCTGACTCGAGTGTGTGGCTGAGGCGGGGATCATGTCGAAGTTGCAGGACCGCCACGGTGGCGAGGCGGCGGCCGACGTCGGCCGCCGAGCGCGTCACCAGCGGCTGCTGCTCAGCTTCCCGGTGTTCCCGATCGTGCTGCTGCTCCTCGCCCCGTGCACCATCTTCTTCTTCACGTCCGGCGACGTGCCGCTCCCCCGCATCCGCATCGAGTACGCTCGCCGTGACGCTCCGACGATCACCGCGGTGGCAGCGGACACGTCGCCGCCACCACCTTCACCACCGTCGTCGTCGCCGCCACCGTTGTCGTTTCCGCCTCCACCGCCTCCGCCATCATCACCACCTCCGCCAGCTCTGCCTGTGGTCGATGATCACAGCGACACGCAACGGTCGCTCCGGCGGCTGCGGCAGCTGACGGACAGCCCGTACACGCTCGGCCCGGCCGTGACGGGCTACGACGCGCGCAGAGCGGAGTGGCTGCGCGATCACACGGAGTTCCCGGCGTCGGTGGGGCGGGGCCGGCCGCGGGTGCTGATGGTGACCGGGTCGGCGCCGCGGCGGTGCAAGGATCCCGAGGGCGACCACCTGCTCCTCCGCGCGCTCAAGAACAAGGTGGACTACTGCCGCGTCCACGGCTTCGACATCTTCTACAGCAACACGGTGCTCGACGCCGAGATGTCCGGGTTCTGGACGAAGCTGCCGCTGCTGCGCGCGCTGATGCTGGCGCACCCGGAGACGGAGCTGCTCTGGTGGGTGGACTCCGACGTGGTGTTCACCGACATGCTGTTCGAGCCGCCGTGGGGCAGGTACAGGCGCCACAACCTCGTCATCCACGGATGGGACGGCGCCGTGTACGGCGCCAAGACGTGGCTCGGCCTCAACGCCGGCAGCTTCATCATCCGCAACTGCCAGTGGTCGCTCGACCTGCTCGACGCCTGGGCGCCCATGGGGCCGCCGGGCCCCGTCCGCGACATGTACGGCAAGATCTTCGCCGAGACGCTCACCAACCGGCCGCCGTACGAGGCCGACGACCAGTCGGCGCTCGTCTTCCTCCTCGTGACGCAGCGCCACCGGTGGGGCGCCAAGGTGTTCCTCGAGAACTCGTACAACCTGCACGGCTTCTGGGCGGACATCGTCGACAGGTACGAGGAGATGCGGCGGCAGTGGCGCCACCCGGGGCTCGGCGACGACCGGTGGCCGCTGATCACGCACTTCGTCGGCTGCAAGCCGTGCGGCGGGGACGACGCGAGCTACGACGGGGAGCGCTGCCGGCGAGGCATGGACCGGGCCTTCAACTTCGCCGACGACCAGATACTGGAGCTGTACGGGTTCGCGCACGAGTCGCTCGACACCATGGCCGTGCGCCGCGTCAGGAACGACACCGGCCGGCCGCTGGACGCCGACAACCAGGAGCTCGGCCGCCTACTGCACCCAACATTCAAAGCCCGCAAAAAGAAGACATCCAGAGCAGCCAGGCCCATGTAATGACGAAGATCATATCGAAAACCGTGTAATTATGGAGATATGATACTTTGATTAGGTTGTATTTTCGTTTGGAGATATTTCTTGAATATTGATGTATGAACGAGGACCGGAGATATTTAATGTGTTGTTTTTACACCCAAAAAAATTCTCACTTTATGTACGAGCTAATTCCGGTTACTTGACTTATTAAAAAAAATTGCGAGCAATGTTTTGTTGGGGAAACGTCATTCCTGATTGTTGTTACTATTGGCAAAGCATCGAAATTATTCTGCATCTATGCAAGGAAAAGATTGCACCATAGTTGATTCATGCCAGTGGAATACAAAAAGAAACAATTTATGTATGACAGCTGGATTGAGTAGAAACTAGAAACGACTATATTTAGGAGACTACTATTGCCATTCACAAATAGCACCAGCACCAGTAATACAAAAAGGAACTATGGGCTAACAATGAAACAAAAGTTCATTATATTTCCATTTTTCTAACTAGAAAGCTAATATAAGCTCGTTCTAGCTCTGATATTTGCACTTGAAAAATTGTTGCACACCTTGGTCTTTCACCATTTGAGATGTCATATTTGTCAGTATTGGAAAGAATGAAGCTGCCCTCTTACCATCTCTTGGACTGTATCTCAGTGGATCGAATGATTGATCATTGAGGCTGAGGCTAAATTTAAGCATGGTTTGTCTTCAGGGACTTCAGGCACAGGCACTTCAATCAGCTTCATCCAGTGACGTTGACAAAAAGTTCAAGATGAAATCATCTAGGTCCCCATTGAGGACTGAATCAGGGTCGGATACTTCGTAGTTTGTCCGGAGATCTTTGACCATACGATATGGCTGCATAAAGGCAAAACATCAGCTATATGTCAGAAGTAATTCTAAAAATATCCTGGCAAAAATACATCACGAACTTATGTTGTTTACATTCAAAGACACTTTCCATATCCCGTAATCTAGCTACTTTCATGGATAGCAGTACGTTGACGGTTAGCAGTTCGCAGCTTCTTTCTTGATTTTCAAATAACAGCAGATGTAAACAACTGATGAATCCCATGAACTAATGCCTAATGTTGAGGAAATATTGAGACCATGGATAACGCAATACTTAAGTTGAAACTTTATCCTCCGAAACCTAGCTAGCAAAATCTTAGTCATATGATAAAAAAAAAAAGACTTACATGGAGTACATAAGATCTTATTTGGTTTCCCCAGCTGATTTCAGAGAGTGATTGCGTGTGGTCTGCATTCATCTGTGCTTGGCGGGCAATCTCAAGCTGGTCCAGCCGAGACTGGAGCACTGCCATTGCTGATGCCTTATTCATATGCTGTGATCTGCACTTTTTAGAATGAATCAGAAACATTTTTTTTCTAGCCACGCATACGCAGATATAACCAAATATCATTTATGTTATATCAACAATCAAGATTATGGATCCTTTCAAAAGTAGAAAGAAAGACACAATATGATTCTAGAGACATCACTAAGTTCATAGAAGTCCAAATTGCCCATCAGCTAACATGGAACTAAAAGTATGCTATATTATATTCGAGACTAGTACAATGATTTCATTACGGGAATGCTGGAGTGTTTCAATAATAATGGAAAACAGGAGAAAGCATAAAAAATACCTTTCATTTTGACAAGTTGCAGTTATACCAGTTGGAATGTGCACAATTCTAACAGCACTTTCTGTGCAGTTGGCATGTTGGCCACCAGGACCACCAGAGCGGAAACGCTCTATCCGAAGATCTGAATCTTTTATCTGGTATCGGGTAGAACCATCACCAAGAATAGGTACAACAGCCACAGCAGCAAAGGAAGTGTGCCGCCTCTTTCCACTGTCAAATGGAGAAATCCGTACCAATCTATGAACACCTACTTCGGCTTTAGCATATCCAAATGCATATTCACCATCCACTTTGATAGTTGCCCTCTAGGAATAGCAGATTTTCAGTATAAAATCTACATTTTTGCTAAAAGGTTTCTCAAATTAAAAGTAATTGACTGTAGGAAAGATAGGATCTTATGTTAAGATCAGATAGTTTACTGGTTTGATCATCACTTCCAGCCAAAGTTGTAACTGAAACTACTTCTGAATGAAGCAGTAGCAAATTCAGTAACGGGAGTTGATGAGAAGGAATGTAAACCTTGATTCCTGCTATTTCACCAGGCATTTCTTCTATAATACTGACTGTGTATCCTCGTCGTTGGGCCCATGAGCTGTACATGTTCATAACCATTGCAGCCCAATCCATGCTCTCAGTACCTCCAGCTCCTGCCTGAACCTGGTCATGGCATCAACATCATGAGGAATCACTCACCAAAAATGCATGGAGGAGCAATAGCTTTAGAGGATAATTCTGAAAATGATACACAATATACCTCAATGAAGCAAGAGCAAGAGTCATTATCTCCAGAAAGCAATGCATTCAGTTCTTTCTCCTTTGCACTTCTTCTCATTTCGGCTAATGCCCTCATGGTTTCCTGCACAGAATGTTGATTATCAGATAAAAACAAATAGCTGATTTGCACCTTGAAGTTGTAACTTTATGTGATGTAGTGCAAGGAAGCACTGCACTCACCGTCTCAAGTTCATTATCGTCCTCTTCTCTTGCAAGCCTCAACATGTCAATGTGCTCCATCAACTCCTGCTCGAATTGGTTCACTGATTTAATCTTGCCCATGAGCTCACCATGTTCACGGCTAACCTTCCCAGCGAAAACTGGATCATCCCAGAGGTCCGGCCTCTCCAACACCACAGACAACTGCCTTGATCTCTCAAGTATCCATCCCCACTAAGAAAATCGAAATAAATTAATTAACAGCATAATGGAACGGGCGCACAAATACATACTAGCACATAATGACATGTGCCACACAACGCACACCAGGTGTTCGTTGATATGCCCAAGAGGAACAAGGCACTCAGATGCATACCACGGGCCCAACAACGCCAGGAACATCACCAATTTCGCTTGGGGAATATGAGAAGTACAAAGTACCTCACAAAGATTGTACCTTGAGCCGCTTCTTGATGAGCTTGACGGACTGCGCGACGGCGGCGGCGTGGCTGCGCCAGTCGCTCTCGGCCTCGGGGAGGATCGTCCACCCCTTCCCCGCGATCGAGTCCACCGTGAGCCCGTCCGCGGTCATCGGCGCCTCCGCCACCGTAGCCGGGGAAGAGAACCACCGCGTCGGCGGGTCTCGAGGGGACCATGGTCCGGCCGCCGCAGGGAGGCCACCGCGGCCGAGTCCCAGGAGGGAGGCCAAGGCGGCGCCATTATCGAGGTGGTGGTGGTGGTGGTGGGTAGGGCTCAGGGCCCCGGAGGAGCGGAGGTGGGAGAGGAGGCGCGCGGCGGTTGATCTGGTTAGGAGGCGGGAAGCCATTCGCGTCGGCTCCGACGATGCCGCGGAGAAGGCGGCGCAAGGGCAAAGAAGAGAAGAGAGTCGGAGGCGGCACATTAAGTTTACGTTTTGCAAAAAGGAAGGCGGTTTCTCCAGGTAGGACAGAGTTTACGCCTTTTGAGACCATCGTCAAAGCCAGTTTTCTGCTGTTATTTTTCACGATTTTAGCAAAAATGTTTTTAATAGTTCGGGTTTTCTGCTGTTATTTTTCACGATTTTAGCAAAAATGTTTTTAATAGTTCGGGTCTGTTTAGACTGTAGCCAAAATAAATCATACCAATTTTTGGTATTACCAACAAACTAAACAATTGGTATTACCAACAAACTAAACGCATACATTTCTTTTGTAACTTTGCTAAAAAATGGTTTTTTTAAAGAAAAATGGTATTTTTTTATAAAGCAGCATCGTCAAAGTGAACTGGCCCTTCATCTCGGCCGCTTGCATTTGTGAGCAGAATTAAATCACTGATCCGACTCATGTTGTGCTTGCGTCGTCATTCGTCAGTCTCGTCGCGCTGTGCCGACTGTGCAGCCCTCAAGAACACGTCCGAAGCTCGAATAGACATTCAGCACATACGCATCGAATCTGAAGACAACCATTTCCTTTTTTTCGAACGCTGAAGACAACCATTCATTTCATCCTGTTTAGTGCGTAGATTTGCATGTGAAGCAAGCACACCCAGCAACCCTGCTTGCAGATATCAAGTCGTCAACCATCGCTATCGGCATCAACATAAGTTTGCACACGCACATCGTTCCAAAATTCGATAAATTTTAGATGGGAGTGCAATTAGTGCAGCATTGCAGCAACAAAGCAGAAGGTTAGTCAGTACTCATTAGAACAGGTTCGACATGATTTTTCGATTTATTTGTACCCCGTGATAGCACAGGAAATCAAGCATACAAGATGCCAATTACAACGAGTGCTACACTGAAGACTTCCAAGCTCCAACAGCTAGCATAACAATGGCAGACTTGAGAAGTTAAGATGCAGGTAGTTAAAACTCCGGACAGCTAATTTGCCGGCTGAGCGGCTCACAATATGCCGGAGAGCACGTTGGCGGCCGTGGACAGCGCGGCGCCGGCGATGGCGCACTGCACCACCCGCTCGTGCGACGCGCGGTCCGAGGTGAGCGCGACGGCCGCGCCGGTGAGGGCGCCCGCCACCACGCTGTTCTTCCAGTCGTGCGTCCCGCGCGCCTCCGTCAGGCCGTAGGTCAGCCCCGAGTGCAACCCGGCCGCGAGCCCTGACACGCGGAAACAAATAAATCGAATCAAGCAGAATTAATCAGCCGTAAGCATAGCAAATTCGTCAGTAAATTCAGCTCGAGAGAGGGAGGGATGCTTACCCCACTGGAGAGACTCTTTGCTCACGCTTTTCACCTGTCGAGAAAGCAGAAAAAAGAAGGTTCACCATACAGGAATCAGAAACGACCATTCACAGATTCACGGTGTGGCGTTGTCCAAGACACCAAAAAGGCAAAAAGGTATTTGCACTTGGCTTACCATAGCCTCAGCTGACTTGCTGCTGTTCCCTCCTGCATACGCAATTTATCAGAACAAAAATCAGTGGCATCCATGTTGTCATGGTCATACTACTAGTAACTATTCAAGATTCAACATCAAACGATTTCCATAAGCATATCACACAGTTGCTACCGTTGAGATCCGGGAACGATCGCTTCCTGGCGCCGGTGGAGTCGGACACGGCTCCCGTGCCCCCACCCTCCCCTGTAGCAGCAGCAACTAAGCAACTAAGTTGATCATCATCAGAAAGAAAAAACAATAAAAAAAAACTTGGTAAAACGAGGATGAACTGAAGCCCCGTTTGGTTTGCTAGTTACGTGCCTTCCATGGCCATGAAGTAAGACTCCCGCGCGACCGCCTGGACTGCGCCGATCTGCGTGGGAGATCGAAGCAAGCAAAGTTAAAGACAGTAGCATCGCGGCGGTGCAGAGGTGAAGTGAACTGGAGAAAGCGAGAGAAACAGAAGGGGAGGCAAAAAGGTGAGTGAGATGGAGGGCGTACGCCGGCGGCCTTGACGAAGCTCTCGGCGACGCGGTTGAGGAGCGGGTGGCCGAGGTCGACCATCCAGTTCTTCTCCAGGCCGCGCACCTCGTCCAGGAACGTGCGCGTCTCCAGGCTGCTGTTGCTGCTCCCGCTCATCTTCCTCCGCTCCGGCGCCGCACCCTGCTCTCTCTCTCTCTCTCTATCTCTCTCTAGCTATTGACAGCTTCGGTGACAGATTTGCAATGCCACTGCTTACACTACAGCAAGCGAGCCGCGTGCGTATACATAAACTGAGCGAGTCGTGGTCACCGTGGAACAGATCATCAGCAAGCGGCGACGAGAACCCGATCCTACTGGTGGCGTCCTGGGGAGAAGAGGACATGACACGTACCCCGGCGGGCCGGACACGTTGCGGGGAGAGGCTCTACTCGTGGCGCTCTTCTGGAACGTGCGCGAGCGCCTCCGTGTTCCATGGAATCTGCGGTATATCCGCCTCTGTGCCTGTGCTGTGCTGGCCAATTTTTCTTCGTAGTACTCGCATCAGAACGCAATACTACTCCAGTACTACTGTACTACTCGTAGTCGGGTGGAAATCTAGAACATGATATGGAGACGAGGACCCGTTCAGATTACCACTAAAATATCAAATTTTAGTAAGATCACAATATTGATAAGTTGGTAACATTATCAAATTTTAATAGAATAGACTAATTTGTTATTAATACAATTTATTATGCATTACAAATATTTAATAACAAACCAAATGTATCGACATATTTGTTAATTTTACTAACAAAATAATATGATTTTAAATGGTACCAATCTAAACAAACCCTAATTTGAAAGGTACCAAAGCACAATTCTTTTTCGCTTCTTTTCTTTTCTTTTCTTTTCTTTTCTTTAAAAGTGCTTGATTTAAATATTGATTTGAAAGGTACAAAAATTTTACTAAAAAATGCTTGATCAAAGTGGTCATATTTTCTTTTCTTTTCATTGAAAGGTACCAAAGCACGTTTTGAAGTGTTAGGACATAAGCGGGCATGTGCGCAGCGCAGTGGCCTTCGAGCAATGCCTACATATTGTCCAGGTGCCAGAGTGCCGGCATGTCACGCCCTGAAAAAAAGGAAAAAATGTCTCTTGAAAAATGGAGTATTGACAACGAAGCACATCTTTTATTCAGATCAATACTTCAGCAGAACAATGGTTCCCAATACAAGTGCATCGATCGTTCTGAAATTAAAGCAACAGCGAACTGTCGTCCATAAAAGAAGTTCACGACACTCCGACCCACTTTCAAAAACTGGAACCACAATAATCGGATTTTCGAGGTCTTCTCGACCATTTATGAACTAATGCCAAGCTGAGTGCGCCAATCCTCGAGCTGTTTTTTTACTTGCTCCGAGCCTGTAGAGCCGTAAGATATGAACTTGTTTACGGCGTTCTCCACTCCCAGATACTCGTACACATCGCCCTCAAAAACGGGGTGAACAGATTTCAGGTCGTCTAGTCCAAGTTCGGCGAGCTGACAGTTCTTCGAGACGCATAGAGCTACAGACCTTCCAACTATCTCGTGCGAGGTTCTGAACGGCACGCCCTGAAAAGCAAATAAATAAACTAGAATAAATAATCTGATTGTAGTACAACAGCATAGCACCTATTATAAGATTAAGGAGAACGTGAGCGGTGAGCCCTAGTGTGTGTGTGAATGTGTGTGTGTGTGTGTGTTTTGAACGAACAATAATTTTTTTTTACTGAGGTTACAAAAATAGGTTTTGATGTAGTTCAGAGTTGATTTATAGACTTTCAGATAGTTTGGGTTGTAAATGAACTTTACAAGCTATGGGAGAAGCTTACCTTCTTCACAAGATAATCTGCTAGTGTTGTTGCATCCAAATAGCCAGCAGGCAGCGAACTTTGTATTCTTTTTGAGTTGAAGGAGATATTTTGAGCAAACTCGGTACATACTTCAAGCATTCCTAATACAGCCTTCACGCTGTCAAACAAGGGTTCCTTGTCTTCCTGCTCAAAACGAAATATTGAGAGCATGCAATGACATAACATCAGCATGAATAACTTGTACGAAGGATAATCACCTGTAAATCACGGTTGTAGGCCTGCGGAAGTCCTTTACAAAGGGTGAGGACAGTCATGAGATCTCCAAAAACACGAGCAGATTTGCCACGAACAAGCTCCATTGGATCTGGATTTTTCTTCTGTGGCATAATGCTGCTTCCAGTTGAAACAGAGTCACTTGGTGTGAGGAATCCAAACTCCTCTGATGCCCATAAGACCCACTCTTCACCAATTCGTGAAAGATGAACAGCAGCAATTGAATTGGCAGCAAGAAATTCCAATACAAAGTCGCGGTCTGATACTGCATCAATACTGTACAAGGAAAAGTTTCCAGATTAAGTGAGGAAGGGCTTATCATATGTCAAAAGTGAGGTAACCAACAAAGAGGAAAGCCAAAAATTATGTTTCAGAGTTTGCTTTACAAAGGCATAGCATACATGACAAATCACAGTGGAGATTCCAGCGGAGAAAATAGGTAATTCATCTACACATGTGCTATGTGAGAAGACATACTTATTTGAGCAGAGATTACTTATTTGAGCAGAAATGAAGAGCAAGTATTTGCTGTGTGTTAACTTTGACATAGGTGATATAGGTCAAACTACTAAAATACCATAGAAATCATGCAATGTGACTGAAACTTTTTAAAGTTCACAGTACTAAAACAAACTGGGGAATTTACCTGTTCTTCATTGGAGCTGTAAACTTCAAATCTTTAGCAGTTTTGAACCTATCGATAGGAAGTCCAGTACCAGCCAAAGCACAAGCACCAAGAGGACAGAAATTCAACCGTTCCCTGCAGTTGACCAGCCGTCCAGCATCACGCTCCAACTGTGCAAAGTACATAAATAAGCGGTCAAGTTCATTGATGGCTTGTTCTCAAAGAAGTAAGCTTTATCAGATCATGTAGTGTTTGAAGCACTATTATATCCCCGCACAGGGAATACAGGAAGTACTTGTCTATAGGCTACTCATTGTGTCATACTGGCATGATATGCCAGCTAATTCAACAAATAAAGCTGGAGTTGCTGAAGTTTATTAAACAAAGGAGATTGTAGCTTAAGTAACACAAACATGTACTGCAGTTTCTTTATATTCCAGATTTAATAACTTTTTTGTGAACAGTATATAGACCGTTGATATATCAGCATTGGCGAGTAGAGGCAAGCCTGAAAATCATGTAAATTTTGGCATTGTACTGGCATTGGTGGAACGAACAAAGAGAGAGAGAGAGAGAGAGAGATTCACCACATAAATTAAGGAGTTGAATGTTTTGGCACAAAATGTTCATTTTATCTACATAAGAGGCATCATTTTTCTATTTCACAAAAAAAAAGAGAGAGATTCACCACATAAATTGTCCAAATCATCTTTTGATCAGAACTTGGGATAAAGTAGATTATTTGATTAACATACATAGTGGAGAGAGGATTCAACCATTCAGGTTTGTTAACACAATAACCAACATATGTAATCATAGGAAATAAGTCTAAAAAAACTGCATGGGATTGACATTTGACACGCATTGACAATCCCTGGATTACACCAAGAAAACTAACATTAAAAAACCCAATGGGCATGAACGGTATCAGGGAAGGGTGCATAAGAAAATTCACCTGTTCAACATATGATAAGAGGAGATGTGGAAGCAAAACAGGCTGTGCCCTTTGCAGGTGAGTGTAACCAGGAACTATTAAGTCAACATATTTTGAAGCTAACAGAACAAGAGACACCTGAAATAATGTAAAGTGGTGTTAGAAAAGTGAAAAACATCCAATTTAGACTTTTATCAGAAAAAAAGAGAGAGAGAGAAACCAGTGTTAATATTTACAAAATGGAGTTGCAATAATCAACCATATTTCATGTTATACATAATAGTGAGGCATTTCTGCACATCAAGAACTGCTTAATCAAAAAAAAGTTTGCATCTGGAAGTGCTTAAGAAGTCGTTCAGTATGGATGCCAGCAGCATGGCTATTAGATAATTTTCTAGTATAGTAAGTCAACCATATTTCCTTGAAGGCTTGAGGCAAAACTTAGGATATGTCAATCTAGTCTCTTGCTCCAGCCTTTAGATAGTGAAAGAAAGGAAGCATATGCTCTGGTTCTCTTCAGAAACCATTGCCCCAGACTCAGCACTACAGTAGAATCAACACTTAAAGCTTTCAACTTAGCTAGTTTACCTGAATGATTGCTTAGGTATACCATGACCAAAAAGTTTTATAAATGGTTCATGCAGTAAGAATCCATAATTTTCACTATGTGTTGATAATTTTCATCAAGTGTTGATCAAGCAGAAAGAATAGTATTGCACCAGCAAGAAATAACCCATGCACAACAAACATGCAAAAAATTACAAACAGTGAACTATGGTCACTACAAAGTAAATTCAGAAACAAACCTGAAACTGTTTGATGCGGAACAAAATCTTGTCAATAGCATCACGGCACCACAGGCGGAGATCCGTCACGATTTGGTCATTGCGGCTCCTAGCAGTATGCAGTTTCTTGGCTGGTTCACCAACCTTTTCGATCAGAGCTGCCTCAATATTCATATGGACATCCTCCCGGTCTGTCCGCCACTCAAATTTTCCATCCTGAATCAGCTTCTCTATTTGATCAAGCCCCTCTAAGATGATGTCCTTATCGCCAGCCGTTATCAAACCCTGCATTGCAAATGATTCCCCAATGTGAATCAAGGTCGACAGCACATTGGTACAATTAGCATCTACAAAGTGCAAAAAAAGAATTAGAGGCAGGTGTTTCATCAAGCATCTGATTAACATACTGACAAACTCTAAACCCTTTGATGAAACACTAAGAACTAAGAAAGTTAGATTTAGAAACTTGCAGACACATCTCAAGCATTACAGTGGAGCTAGCAATTTCATCGAACACATGGCGAGCGCATTAGCAGCGGATTAACCCCAGACTAAAACTCCCCAAAACGGCTTAGCCGCAGCTCTCCAGCGCAGGCATGATTAGCCGAACACCTAGGTGGATCGCACTACCACCACCACCAACAGAGACAACGAAGCAGATGGGCACGGTGGAGGCGCGCGCACACAGTACCTGCGCGGCGAGCATGGATGCGTGGGCCTTGCTGCCCATGATGTCGTACTTGTAGAGCTGCCAGTCGTAGGAGATGGACTCGGTGAACCCTTCCACGGCGTCGGTGACGCCCTCCTCGAATCGCCCGCCCCACAGCTTGGTCTCCTTCCTCTCCTCGCTCTCCGAGGACGCCATCGATGTGGACGCCGCGGCGACGGACGGGAAGGCGGGGCGGCGGCCGCGGAGGGACACGGACCCGCCGGCGGGGAAGGGGAGGATCCTCGGGCGGAGAAGGGGGTTGGGCGCCGGCGAGAGGAAGGATTGGGAGGTGGCGGCGGCCATAAGTATCGTCGCCGAGGGTGTCCGCTTCGCCCACGACTGTGGCGCGGCGGCGCGGCGGGGAGGAGGGAGTAGTTGGTGACGGACTATGGTCTTCGGCTACGGTGAGTGTGTGTGTCCTCTCAGAACTTTGTTTGGACGGTCCTTTTAGTCCGAGTCCGTGCAATGTGGATGGGCCGGAATTAAGGCCCAACCAAATAAGACCCGGAATAATTAGGGTACCCAAATCTATTTTTAACTCGTGTATGTATATTAGTGCTAGTGCTAATTAATTTGGACACTGTAACGGCAAGTGCAACAGTGAAGTCCGATATGGACCCTAAGGAGAAGAAATATAACACCATTGTACAATCCGGTCTTCAATATGAATCAGATGAAGTTCTTGTGAAGAGTCAACTTGATCGAGATAGTTTTCGGGGGTAGAGTTATTTTCTAATGTGGATTGTATAATATTTACACTGTACCATAATTTGGGGAAGCTTTTAGGCACAAGAAGCATAAAGGAGCTAGTGACTCTATGGACTAATTTAAAAGCTCAGACTGTAAAGCGTAATTAATTACTCCCTCCGTTTGTTTTGACTTTTCTTCTTAGTTAAATCATTTTAATTTTGATCAAGTTCATAAAAATTGTATAATAATATTTTTAACCCAAAACAAACGAGTATTAAAACATATTTAATTTTATATTTAATAAAGTAATTTCACGTGGTAGAGATTATTATTACTAGATTTTTAAAAAACTTTGTTAAATCTAAAGAAGTTTTACTATAAAAGATTAAAATGACTTATATTACAGAATGAAGATAGTAGAAACCATAATTTGGGGAAAGTTTTTTTAAAAAGTAGCCTCTTTCCAGTAAACAGCCTGATGGATGGTGTAACATCCATAACTTACCGTCTCAGCCAGCATGACAGCGTGGACGCGGCTGCAGGCAATGTCGTGCGCCCACAATTCATCAGCCTCTCCCGCCACCGGAGGCCCGGTGAACCGCTCGCCGGCCTTGCCCTTCACCGCGTTGCCGTTAAGCCACACCCTTGTCGGCTCGGTGGCCTTCACTACCGCCGGCTTCCGTTTCGACGACACCGTAAGCTGCTGTGGCGGATCGTTGGCATAATCCAGCGACGACTTCACCGACGACTCCGCGGAGACGTCGGCCGAGCTGCCGACCATCTCGATGAGCCCGACGTCGTGCGCTGACAGCCGCTCGCCGGTGGCCACCTCGACGATCTCCAGGCCCTCCACCTGCTTCGGCTGCTGCCACTGCGGCGGGAACGGCGACGGAGCTGAGGCTGAGCTCGTCGAGTGCTTGCCCGGCCTCGGCGTCACCGGTATTATCCGGTTGGGCGTCGCCGGAGAATTAGTGCGCCCGTCCTCGGTCACCGCGGGTGAAGGCGGCTGTGTCGCGGAGGGCGTCGCCGCTTGCGTCTTCTCGGGCGTCGACGGGGAGTGCGGCGGATGCGTCACCAACGACGGCGCCGGCGTGAGCGCCTGGCGCCGCGCGACCACGGCGGCGGCGTTGGCCTTCCGCTCCTTGTTCTTCTTGCCGCGGAAGCACGACCTGATGGACGGGAGGCGCGGTTTGCTGTGCTTCTTCTTCTTCTTCTTCTTGCTGTGGTCGGCGGTGACGCCGTCGCCGCCGCCCTGGTTCGGCATGGCGTAGACGAAGAAGGACGGCTCCTCGCTCTGCTGCTCGACGCCGCCTGCGACAGACGCGTCACGGACCTTCGACGGCGTCGTGTGTCGGCTGCGGCTGCGGCTGCGTCGGCCTCGGCCGCGGCCGGGGCACCGGAAGAGGGACCTCAGCGGGTTGAAGCAGCACGCCGCGGCGCGGTCGCCTCCGCCGCCACCGGCGCACTTGCACCGTGTCCGGCGCTGGGACGACCTGCCGCGAGGCGTCGCCACCGTCGACATGGTCGCTCGCAGGATGCCGGCCGGGGAACCGGAGCTCGAGCCGGTAGATGTCTCAGCTAGTGCTTTATCTGTTCGTGGCGTCGTAGGCTGGAGCTGTATTTTTGTTGCGGCGTGGGTGCATGGCTTACGTGCGGTGCACTACCACGGCGGCAGCCATGGTCGTGGACGCTGTGTGGCGAGCTCGTTTGCAGTTTGCGGGTCGTGGCGTTTAATCGGGGCGCACGAACATGATTAGCTCCACTAATTACTCCACCCAACCATTGGATTCAATGGGCTGACTTGTGCATCTGATACAAGCATGTTAGCCCGTTAATTTCGTGCCGGCCCAGCGCGATGAATCTTCGGTGTTCCAGCCCATAATAAATCACCGAAGCCCATCAAAATCCAAACGGAAAATCCGTTGTAGCATTCAGACACGTTAGCGCCACGTGGCACCGGCCTTTCGTCCTTATCCTGTTGCAGACAAGGTGGGGCCCACCTGTCGCGGACTCGCCACCCGCCAACCCATGGGCGAGCCAGCGCGCGCGCACGCGGAACGCAAAAACCAGGCGCCCCACCAGCAGCGAAACCGGTGCGTGCGAGACGCGATCCCGGGGGGAAAACCGCGCGCTCCCGCGGGACATAAATTCGGGTGGAATCTACCACGGTCCCCATCCGAACGTTCGAGCGGTGAGGCACAGTCTTGTGACAGGAGAGAGAAGAGAGGAGTTGGTTAGTGCTACGCTGCGACGGATGGACCGCGCGACGGAGGAGGAGACGGCGGCGACGGGGCGGCGGATACTGGTGGCCGTGGACGAGGGCGACGAGAGCGTCCACGCGCTCAAGTGGTGCCTCGCCAGCTTCGCCAAGCGCGGCGGCGGCGGGGGCGCGGCGCCGCCGGACACCATCATCCTGCTCTACGTCCGGCCGCCGCCGCCCACCTACTCCGTGCTCGACGCCTCCGGTACGTACGTGCGCGCGCCATGTCGCTCGTACATTCCCCTTTCCCCCCTTCTTTCGCCGGCGTTGTTTGACAGACCTGTACTAGCTATGGTAGGCTACGTGTTCTCCGACGAGGTGGCCGCCGCCATTGACGGGTACAGCAAGGAGGTGGCGGAGGCGGTGGTGGAGAAGGCGCAGAAGCTCTGCACGCTCTACGGCAAGGTCGGTGACATTCCAACGCTCCACGAGAGGCAATTCGGGATTCGACCACCCATTGATCGAATTTAGCGTGGCGATTTGGTGCTTGCAGGAGGTCGGTGGCGACGGTGAGGCTGGCCATGAGATGAAGGTGGAGGTGAAGGTGGCGGTCGGCGACGCCAGGAACGTCATCTGCCAGATGGCGGACAAGCTCGGCGCCGACGTGCTGGTGATGGGGAGCCATGGCTATGGCCTGTTCAAGAGGTCACTGAAACGATCTCGTTTTCAATCTCAGAAGCTGTGAGAGCGCAGCTTATCTGCTTTGCATATCATCTGCTTCAATCAGCTCGCGCTCTCGGTGACGATGATGTTTAGCTTAATTACGCTATATATGCTCGTTGATTTTGCAGGGCTCTGCTTGGAAGTGTCAGTGATTACTGCGTCAGGAACGCCAACTGTCCAGTTCTCATCGTCAAGTCGTAGCTGCCACTCACTCCAGTGCTTGTAACTGTGCAGCAGCATGTGTGCTCTGTCCGGCTTTTTTTTTTGTTTTTGCCTTGTGTTCTGCTTTGTATGTCTACTTTAGTTCGCTTCGCATGTAATCTGCCGGAAGAGGACGTGCTGAGTGATTACTCAGAACTCTGAAGTTATCCAGCAACCTGTATATAGAAGAACTACTTTCTGTGGAGATGGCAAATTTAGTTTTTCTGTCATCGGCTTCCACTTTTAGCACTGATTTCTGAATTTGGCTGTATAATTAGCAAATACCCAGGGTTTGCTTTGATCTATTCGCGCTAACCATTGCGCAGAAATTCAGAACTCCTTTATAAACAAATCTCTAAGAGAGAGAATTACTAGCGTTTCTTATATTTGACCCAATTTCATCTGCGATCCTCTTTTGTGCAGTTGCTTTTGTTCCTCTTTCTTCCGGTGTGTATCACTATCTATCTTGGGCCTCGACATTATAAATTGGGAAAAAGTTTATTTTTGGTTCTCAACTTGCTGTCAAGTTTATATTACATCCTCGAAATCACAATAACACGTTAACAGATACTCCCTCCGTCTCTAAATATTTAACGCCGTTGACTTTTATAAACATGTTTAATCGCATGTTTAATCTTTTGTTTTATTCAAACATGTAAATAAATAAATAAATAAATATATATATATATATAACAGAGAATTTAAATTTTTTAATAAGACAACGGTAAAAAAAACATGCTAATTTTAAACATGTTTAAAAAATTAACGGCGTCAAATATTTAGAAACGGAGGGAGTATAACGTATCCCTTGACTAGCATAACCGGTGTTCCCGAGATCTCAGGCAATATAGTGTCGTGTTTTAGCTAACGTGATGAGCGGGATCCACATGGGTCTCACATGTTAGGGGCTATTAGGGCTATTTTTTTCCTCCAACCCCTAGGGGCGTACCTATGTGTAGTTTATAGGTGTCCTAGAACCCTGGGTAGATTATCCAATTATAGTTAACTAGCATAGTGGCCCGCGCAGATTGCACAGCTAGCATCATTATAATTTCCCATATAATATCATATATATTTTTTCTCATTATATTGTTCAAATATATTACATTAACATCATAATTTTAAATTTTACAATAACTTTACGAAACTACAAATGTGTAATATTCATATTGTATTTTATATACGTGTTAGTTATTAATTATTTTAATATCAAATTTTAGTTATTTGTAAATTATATATTCTCATATATCTACTCTAGACTCGTCGTTTAATATTCTTTTTTTTAATTCCGAATTTTATGTAAGTTGTATTTCTATATAGACTCTAGGCTTTTCTTCCAATATTATTTATTTTTATTTCTAAATTTTTATTATTTTTAAATGTATTTCTATGTGAACTCTAAATTCATCTCTCAATATTCTTTAATTTTTAATTTCGAATTTCAGTTACTTCTAAATTGTATTCCTATATTGACTTTAAACTCTTCTTCCCATATTTTTCTTAATTTTGAATTTTAGCTATTTGTAAATTGTATTTTTATACGGACTCAAAACTCTACTATTAATTTTATTATGTTTATTCTGAATTTCAGTTAGTTTTAAATTGCTATATGGACTCTATACTCTACTTCTAATATTCCTTATTTTTAATTCCGAATTTCAGTTATTTCCTAATTGTATTTCTATATGGACTCTAGTCTCCTCTTCTAATATTCCTTATTTTTTAATTCTGAATTTCAGCTATTTCTAAATTGTATTTCTATATGGACTCTGTTTTTTTCTTTTTCTCCGATTAATGTGAGAATTTCTAGGCTATGAGAGCGAACATGAAGGCTCTTTTTTTATTACTTTAATAATATAATATATTTATGCCATGCGAATCAGTATAATCAGTTAATAATTAAATAATTAGTATGTTTGGGACCTTCGATAAATTTTATTCTGGTGCACCACTACCAACCTCTCCTCTCTCTCTCTCTCCATCTCCAAAGCTTATGGTCGGGGAACCACCGGCGGCAGCAGGGTCCCATGCAGCCTCCATCGAATTAGCAGTTGCCGCCATTGGTGAAAGGGGAGGCGAGAAGGGAGCTTGGCTTGGAGTCCCAAATCAACCACTGGTTCACTGTTGTAGGAGACTAGGGGAAGAGAGAAGAAGGAGGTGGTGGCGAAGTAGCAGCACGCCAACGGCCGTCAGTGGAGCTCAGCGTCGTTGCTACAGTCAATGGATCTCGACTGGAGAGGGGAACGGGGAGACGGGACGACAGTGAGGGCGCTTCAGTCGGTGGGTGGACCCAGGTGGAGGGTCTCCGCTGTCACCGCCACGCTCACGGCGCTCGGGCCGTGTTTAGTTATTTTCAAAATTTCTTTTAAAATATACGGACACACATTTAAATTATTAAATATAGACTAATAGAAAACAAATTACAAACTTCGCTTGTAAACTGCGAGACAAATTTATTAAGCTTAATTAATCCGTCATTAGCAAATGTTTACCGTAGCAACACATTATCAAATCATGTCGTAATTAGGCTCAAAAGATTCATCTCGCAATTTACATGCAAAATGTGCAATTGGTTTTCTTCATCCACATTTAATATGCTCCATACATATGTCCAAACATTTAATGTGACGGAATTTTTGAAAGTTTGAAAATATGAGGGACCCAATGTGTCAAATAAAAACGAGGGACCCAATGTGAACTTATTACTACTACAATTTGCAAGCGACCAAGCGTAAGTTTGGGGCCGTTTGGCTATCGAATAAATTCATTTTATGTACCTTAATTTTACACCGAATCCTATTTTCGTCATTGAACCCCAAAACCAGATACAACCGGTACCCGAACTATCAAAACTGGTGCAAAACAGGTCCCTCTGCAGTTTTGAAGGCTGTTTTGGCTGATACGGCGCCTACGTGGCTGGTTTGACTAGGTCTCCATCCCACGTGGCATTGACATGGCAATTATATCTCGGAAAAATAATAAAAATCGTAGGCCCACATGTCAGCCACACAAACAAATAATTAAAAACGGTGGGTCACACATGTAACCTACACAAAAAAAAATATGGCGCGCCCCCGTTGGCCCCACATGTCATTCTCAAATGACCAAATCCAATCCTCTTCTTCCTCCTTTCTCTGGCTCTCCCCATCTCTCTGCTCCCTCCTTGCCAAGCGGCGGGGCGACGGACAGCGCGTGGCCGGTGGCGGGCAACGACGCGTGTGGCGGCGCGCGTGGCGGCTGGGCCCCCTGTGTGGCATGTGAAGGCGGCTCGTTTTCTTTCTATAGCTCTTTTGAGACAACTTGGTGAGTGCTCGTGAGCTACTACGGCCATGGCTGTGATGTGTTGTACTACTGTCGTCATCAAGCTGAACGCTGAAGAGGAGAGGCGTCCTGCTACTAGCGGCCGTTCGAGTGGGAGAGGCTAGCGACCGTCGGCGGGAAAGCCCAGTGGGAGTGACGGGCTCTCGGAGGTTGGTGGGTAGAGGCCCGCAGCGGCCCCTTCATCTTCCCCTCGCCGCCGTAACCGCGCGCTGCCGTCGGCGTCGGGTCGTCTCGATCTGTGCGTACATCTTGGAGGTGAGGACGATGACGACGCCGTGGCTTCCTGATTCGGCACAAATCTCAGACCATGTCGCCGCCGCCCCTCCTCCCGTGCTTCTAGTCCCATCTTGACCTTGGGCAGCGGCGGCGGATCCTGCTCACCGCTTTACACTTCAACATGACGCTCATGATGACACCGCCACCCAGGCAAAGCACCTTCGGCCGCGGCGAAATCGGCCCAGCGCTGTGACGGGAGCGCCTTCAGCTCTACCTTCGTCGGCATGCTGCGGCTTGACGAGGAAGAAGAGGGAGAACCGAGTGGAGAGAAGGAGATGACATGTGGGGCCCACGTGGGACCCACCATATTTATTTATTTATTTGTGTAGCTTACATGTAGGTCCTACCATTTTTAAATTATTTTTTTGTGTGGCTGACATGTGGGCCCACATTTATTATTATTTTTCCGAGATATAATTGCCACGTCAATGCCACGTGAGATGGAGACCTAGTCAAACTAGCCACGTAGACGCCACGTCAGCTAAAACCGCCGAGGGACCTCTTTTGCACCTGTTTTGACAATTCGGGGACCGGTTTTATCTGGTTTTGGGGTTCAAGGACGAAAATTGGATTTGGTGTAAAATTAAGGGACCTCATATGAACTTATTCCTTTGGCTATTGTTGAGTTATTGTCGTGGGCTTTTATTCATTGAAGAAAGAAGTTCCTGTGAACTTGACTCGTGGCCTGCAGGCCTCAGGTTCGTAGCGTTCGGTCATCACTGTGAAATGGCTCTCCTTCAAAACGGTTTGGGCCCTGGTTGTGTTATTGCGCTGCCGATCCATCCTCAATGCTCTCATACTTGGGCTGTAACGATGACTGGATGACCTATTATTGACTTGTTCCTAGCAAAGTTTGATTTATTCTCCGTGTTTTTTTTTACTTCGACGTAATGGCGTTCTAAAGTCCGAATTTTGCTATGCTCCGAAACTCTGAAGTTTGAAATTAGCATTTACTGCTACATCCGGGCGTCTTTGAGTTTGACATTTCAAAACCAGCAGCATCGGTGATCGTTCCGATCTAATTGTCGGCGACTGTTCCGCCAAGGTCAACTTGCCAGAAATCCCAGTCAATCCAATTGGCGATGTTAATTACGAGTTAAGTGGGTTCGTTGTCGGTCGGTGCTGAACTTTGCACGTCTTCTCTGTACATGCGCGTTTGAATTTTTCAAGTTCAGACGTTCATTTCGCCTTCGCCAACTTGGGAAGAAGTAGATTCTTAATCGAGCATAGACATGTACATATGTATTGCAAACATTGCTCCTTTGGATATGAACAATAGATCACGCCTAAACACTGGCCAATCATTTCGTTGTTAGGTTGCAACTAACGCCAGAATCTCCGCAATATCGTGTTGCTCTAAGATAATGCCAGTAAATTTTATTTCGAGTTTTTAGATGATTACATGTATACCTGACCCGTCAACTAATTCATGCGAGTATGCAACACAACAGTATCGCTTGAGCAATAAGCGAACTGTCCCTTTCAGACAGGAGAGTTTAAAAAAGGAACGAGCTTTATTAGGCTTCAGACCAAACCGTAGGTTGGTTCGACTGGCAATGGCAGTGCTTAATTAGATTAGAAGTTCCGGCTGGTCCAAGTAGTATTAGATTAGATTATAATAGGATCAGAACAATGTATCTCGGCAAAACGAAGCTTCGTACTTCGGTTTGGTTATTTGGTACACATCCCTCTCCAAATCAACCGAAACTATCATTCCATCGACAGTCACTAAGGAAGCAATTTGGCCAGGCTCAACTCCTACGCAAAATTCTTCCTTTCTTTGCCCTCACTGGACCATGCAGAGCCATGAGATTCTGGAAGAAATGTTGTCAAATTTGGTGGGATTTCTCTTCATTCTTTTTGTTATTCTTGTGGGCAGGTGATGCCGATGGATTGTAACACTGTTGCCTTCCCATTTTGGACATGGTGATGGAGCTAATTATTGTTCCATGTATCTTCTGAGCAATCATAAACTGTAAAGATTTCATAATGTAGTAGACAGCATGATCGTCAGGATAATTGGCAACATCTAGTTTCTGACAAGGATACGATTCGTTTAGGTGCAGCCAAGACTTGGATGGATGTATTCCTCTTGCATGGTTTTCCATGAATTGCAGGTAATATTCAAAGACTGTTAGGACATGGGAGTTCAGATTACAGAGTAAGGTTTACATAAAGTAGGGTTGGCAAAGACTGTACTTTGCAGCAATGAAGTTTGCAGTTAGAAGCATGGCAGTTTGGTACCAGTTTCATCGGATGCAAATATGTTGAACTCGCCATCACGGTAGGGCTAGCATTTTCTTAGCTGTAGTCCACAAAATTCCAAATTCTTTCTGCCCAATTTATGGTCTCAACAGTATCTTCGTCCGGTCACAATTCATTTGATCTGAAAATCTGTACCGTGCAGGAAGACCGTTTTCATCGATACAACGAACAAACTGAACATCATAAATATTGCAGCTATTCATTTTTTGACGAAATGATACAAAATATTTTTTTCGCGAACGCGAAATGATACAAAATACGCGTGATTAGCTGAACCCAGCTATGACCTGCTCCTTTTGATTTGTCAAATGCAAAAATCCAGGGCGCACTAGCTTTCGTGAGAGCACGCACAGGAAGATCTCGTCAGATGCAGGACACACGCCTGAAAAATTATTGTACGAACTGCTAAACATCAACTGAAACATCCAAAACCCCAACAGGAGAGAAATTTTGGAATACTTCGATTATCTTCCAAGCAATATTTTGTATGAAGAGGAGTGGAGCCCCAACGACAAAATGGTCGCACGTCACCGTCGGCGCTGAGACAAAAAGTACGCATGCGAACTCACTACTACTACCATTTTGCCAACCAAACCAATTAACCCATTCTTAAACACTGTCCATTTCTAACCCGCTATAGCTATCACTCTTTTCCCTTTCATTAATTTTGTAATTATCTCCTTCTCCTGCCACTTCCCTGTCTCTTTTTCCCCAACCTGTAGCTGTAGCTGTTACCCCGCCTGTTACGGCCGGAAACCCAGTGTGCACACGCTGCAACCGTGCCAATTTTGTCACGAACCTTCCAAAAAAACGTAAATTTGGGCGTCGTTTCTGCGTACAGTGACATTTTACAGAAGGTGTTCTTTCCGTGCGAGTTCAGTGCGTTCAGAGAAGAGACGGCACGAGTGATTCACAAATTTTGACGATTTGTCCATTTGGAAAAACTAATTTTACAAATAAATCGTGACCAAAACTTATTTCAGAAATGATAATTTTTTTCAGCGCCAAATCATATGGCACTGAACTTATACATCTCAGCGCCACATCAACTGGCGCTGAATGCCGTGCCACCACAGATGGGAGGCTGAGTCGGCGTGCCAATGTGCATTCAGCGCGATGCTATTTGGCGCTGAGACGTCTAAGTTCAGCGCCATACGATTTGGCGCTAATAGGGGTGAAAACGGTCACGGAAATTACCGATCGACCGGGCGTTGTTTCCGTTTAAGGGGTACCGTTTTCGACCGTACCGTTTTTGGCTATTTTTAAATTTTATTTTTTCTAATTTCTTTCAGCATCGTATTAATGTCGATATTAAGTAGTTTAAATGATAAATATGGTCAATTACCGGTTGATCGAGCATCGTTTCCGAAGAGATGCTACTGATTCTGACCGTTTCTGATCATTTTTATCCCTAGGCGTCGAAAAAAAAAGTCATTTTTAAAATAAGTTTTGACCACAGTTCATCTATAAAATTAGTTTTTGTAAAGGGTTAAATTATCAAAATTTTGCGAGTGATTAGTGAACGGTGCAACGCGTCAAGGACGAGTCAACGCGCCAACGACCTCACGGGAGGAGCAGTTCGGTTCAAACCGAACCCGCCATTTTTCTTCTCATCGTCTCCACCGCGCGCGCCACAACTAAACCCCTCGACACTTTTTTTTTTTTTGTCGCCGAGTATTCGTCGTCCCCGACGACCACGAAAAACCGCTAGGAAAACATATTTGGGTTTCTTGATCCATCCGATTCCCGATCCCACCACCACCCGCCGCTTTAATACCCTCCTGCCCATCCACCCCTCTTCCCGGCCCCTCGCCGCGCCATTAGCGGAAGGTTTTGCTTTGCGTCATCCAGGATGGGCAATCTGATCTCGTCGGGCGCGGTGGTGGGCGCGAGCGGCGGAGGGAAGGTGGTGATGGCGGACGGGAGCGTGCGGGCGCTCAGCGAGCCGGTGTCGGTGGCGGAGCTGATGATGGACCACCCGCGCCACTTCGTCATCGACGCGCGCGACCTGCAGCAGCAGCGGCGGCACAAGGGGAAAGCTGGGGCTCCTCCTCCTCCAGGGGGCAAGGTCGCGCCGCTGCCGGCCGACCACGTGCTGGGCGCCGGCGGGGTGTACGTCCTGCTGCCGGCCACCACCCGCGGCAAGGTGTCGGCCGAGGAGGCGCGCCGCGCGCTGACGGCGTCCCGGTCGCTCGAGCGGTCGCGGTCAATGCCGGGCCGGCTGAGGAGGAAGCTGTCGTCCAAGAAGATGACCCAGGAGGCTGACAACGACGGCAATGCGTCCGAGAACCACGCGGCGGCGGCGGAGGCGGAGAGGAGGGAGGAGACGGCGGCGGCGGCGAGGCCGCCGCCGGCGGACGGGTTCGAGGAGCACCGGCCGGAGTTCCTGAGCAGGGAGCTGTCGAGCAGAGGGTGGAAGCCGAGCCTGATCACCATCGAGGAGCGCGTAGCGCCGAAGAAGGTGTCCCATTGGCTCTTCTGAGTTCTGACCTCGTCGCCGACGACGACGAGATCAACAGGAAGCTTCTTAATTTGACTTGTCATCTAATCTCTCTTTCTTCTCTTTTTCTTCTTTCTTGCTGATCCTCTGCTGAATGCTTGTCAATTGTCATCATCTAGTCCGTCAAAATGCATGCACTGATGTACGCATAATGGCATGTTGTAATGAGATAGCACAAATGAAATGTGCACTGTAATTACAAACTTTAATTAGTAGGTGTTTGGAGGCTGCGTCTGAAAATAGCTCAAATTGAACTGGATAAACCTCTCTGTATCCATATTCTCTTCTTTCTCTTTTCCCCCTTTTCTGCTATCCACAGCTCTATATCCTCCTTGTCTAAATAAGGGTACCATTAACTCTACATTAAACGTACAGCCCTGATAAAAACCTTCACTAAACTGAAAAAAGAAATACAGAGCATATGCCCCGGTTCGTTCGCTAAGGAGTTCAAGTGTACTTGCACCTGAATTACGCCTAACACAACTGCAACACTGTCGCAACAATCGAGATGGTCAGTAATAAGAAAAAAGAGAAAAGACAACGTAAAGATGGAGCAGGATAGTACATTGTACAGACTAGCGACTACCGAGAGACAGACCGAACAGGACAAAACCACAACGTTGTGCAGAATTTTGCCACGGCTTTGGAACACTGGATTGTTGTTGGCCGTTGCCGTCGTGCTTGCGTCCAATGTACTGTCTCGACGAGTAGAGTAGAGACTGGAGAGGCATACAGCTGTAGGCCTGTAGCCTGCAGCCAAATACTTTCTCTATCCTAAAATATTCTCCATTTAGCGGGTGTTTAGATCTACCGGTAATTTTTTTTCTCACATCGAACATTTGAGCACATACATTGAGTATTAAATATTAAAAAAAACTAATTATATAGTTTGCGTGTAAATTGCGAGACGAATCTTTTAAGCCTAATTGTGCCATGATTTGATAATGTGGTGCTACAGTAAACATTTGCTAATGACGAATTAATTAGGCTTAATAAATTTGTCTCGTGGTTTACAGGCGGATTCTGTAATTTGTTTTGTTATTAGACTACGTTTAATACTTTAAATGTGTGTTCGTATATCCGATGTTACACGTCAAAACTTTACACCCATGGAACTAAACACAGTCTTATAATTGAATGCAACGTAATATAGTATACTACGAATCTGAACGGGCTGTTTATAGTATAGAATATATCACATTTAATTTTACGTTATTTTAAGATAAATGGAATATGCAATGCATGATAGGATAGGATAAGCGGGCACTGGGCAAGCGCCAAACATGGTGCCCACGGAATTGGCCTCCGCTTCTCGTTTCGAGCGGAAGGGCGCCCACGGGCTCGGAATCCAGCTGTGGCAACAGAGAACGGCCCACGCCTATTCAAGCTGCCGACATGGTCACATCAGGCATGCACCCTGGACCCTGGTTCGACATGGGCCATGTGATGAGCTACGTGGAGGCCCGCACGACGGTAATTTCGCAACCTGGCCTGCTTACCAGCTCTGACATACTCCTATGCAGATGCTACTCTAAAAAAAAAAACAAAAAACTCCTATGCAGATGATAATGTTTCATGATTGTGTTTCGAAAGGAAAAAAAAATGTTTCATGACTGGATTGGAGGGAATATACGATACTACGAGTTCTATCACATGTACTCTTTTTTTAAAAAAAATCGTTTTGACGACAAATTGTTTTATTTTAGCTGCATGTTTAGAATGCAGGAATTTTGTAAAGAAACATTTTTTGCATGACAAAAATACTGCCCGTCCGCGTGGCATCCGCATTTGATGCAATGAACCAGGACAAGGGTGTTCAAGATGTCAGTGGACACAACTTGCTGCCGCTTGCATCAGCACTTACCTCACATTCATATGGCGCCAGGTCATCATCGGCGTCCATGTGCCATCAGAACAAATCAGCGATTATAATCAGGTCCGACAAAATGAAAACAAAATGATAAAAAAGAAGCTACTGCTGCACTACAACGCTAATCTGGGCATAGGACACAATAGTATTACCAACATAATCATACCTCATCTTTAAATTTTAAGACGAAAGATGTACTCCCTCCATCTTAAAAAAAAAACTAAACACATAAAATAATAATCCCTTCGTTTTTTAATAGATGACGCCGTTAACTTTTGGATACATGTTTGATCATTCGTCTTATTTAAAAATTTTATGCAAATGCATAAGATATGAATCATTTTTAAAGTATTTTTAGTGATAAAACAACTTACAATAAAATAAATTGTAATTATGTAAATTTTTTTAATAACACGAATGATCAAACGTGTGTACAAAAGTCAACAGCATCATCTATTAAAAAATAGAGGTAGTATATGATCTACCCTAGTAAAACAAATTTAGATCCAGATTTATTATACTAACATTCTATTTTAGGTTTGGTTTTTTCTAATGGAGGGAGTAGGTTCATAGGCTTAATTGGTTGCTCACCAAGATTTGGCAAAATAAAAAGGGCTAAACATAAGTGTCCTTACCAAAAATTTTAACTGTAAATCAAGCACATATGCTTCACCATAATGTCGACCTACCAGCAGGTTTCCCAAATCGTTTGGAATGCGGTTACTGCCATCCCATAATTTGATACTAAACCGCGCAGTTATCGCGAGATATACCGTGGTTTAAACAGCACCGATTTATAAACCCTGCCTTCCAGTACGTTGACAACAACCAGATAAATTTCTTCTCCCACAAAGACCGGTTCCTCCCTTGTGGCCGTGCCGTTTCGTCCAAAGGGCCCACCGGCTGACACGAATTTGGGAGAATTGTAACGCAACGTTCTGGGATTCGAAGCAATCTCCTTATCAGACAATCATAGAGATCCACTGATGACAGCAATCTCATGGGTTTGGAACACGCTAATCTCACTCAAAATTCCTTAGGACCCAAATTTTCCGACCCGTTTGAATGTTTCTCCAAGTTGTTTGGCTTACTCCAGTGCAGTGATCAACGACCTAAACTTCTCCCCTAAGCTGCCCGATTGTTTTTTCCTAATTAGCCGCCCTGATGAAAGTATGAAACTGGAGCCATACAGTAACAGATTTGTGGTTTTCCTGGTCAGCAGCAATACAACAGAGGACGAGAAGCACCGGTAATGTGATAGTGAAGTCGTATCCACCTATCAGAATTCAAATTATAGTGGTCACAATTCACGAATATTACATACACGCAAGTAGGCTTTTAATATGAATTTAGTGAAATAAAAGATGTACAACTGATTTTTGCCTTTTAACATGTTTTAGTAGACGAGTTCGCATGTCTGTGAATAAATGTGGTACTCCCTCCGTCCCATAATATAAGGGATTTTGAGTTTTTGTTTACATTGTTTGACCACTCGTCTTATTTAAAAAATTTATGCAAATATAAAAAACAAAAAGTTGTACTTAAAGTACTTTGGATAATAAAGTAAGTCAAAAAAATAAATAATAATTCAAAATTTTTAAATAAGATGATTGGTCAAATAGTGCAAAAAAAACTTAAAATCCTTTATATTATGGGACGGATGGAGTATTACCATGTGTGCGTGTATGTACACTTCGTAACAGTTACTCTCTCCGTTTCACAATGTAAGTCATTCTAGCATTTCCTATATTTATATTAATGTTAATGAATCTAAATTAATATCTATCTAGATTTATTAATATTAATATGAATATAGGAAATGCTAGAATGACTTACTTTCTGAAACGGATGAAGTAAAAAGGAAAAGCAATATAGCATAGCGGAGCACTGCTAGAGAAGCATAACTGTAGGGTATAGCCAATTAGCCATCTGGTGGAGTCCGTGGGCCATCTCGACAGAGCCCGTACGGCCCACTTGACAGTGGAGAAGTCCAACTCCAAGTCTCTCGCCTGCCATTACGCGAGGACGATCCCGACCGTCCGTCCCCTGCCAAACCAACGGCCACCGTGGCGTACAGGCGCTATATATCGCACTGACCGTCGCGCAGCAGCGTTCGCCTCTGTCTGTCACACACACACACTCCAGTACCCCCACGCTTTCGGCACATTCTCCTCGCGCGAGAGGGGGGAGGAGAGGGGAGGGGGGAGGAGCGAGAGCGGAGCGATGGGCTCGCCGGGGCATGGGGATGCGGCGGAGAGGGACATCGACGATCTCCCACGGAACGACGCCAACTACACGGCGCTGACGCCGCTCTGGTTCCTGGAGCGCGCCGCCGTGGTCCACCCGGACAGGGCCGCCGTCGTGCACGGCCCGGTGAGGTACACCTGGGCGGAGACCTACCGCCGCTGCCGCCGCCTCGCCTCCGCCCTCGCGCAGCGATCCGTCGGCCCCGGCTGCACGGTAAATTTCTTTCCCCTTTCTTTTTTCTTTTTACCCGCTACGAGCCCCGTCAGCGCGGTAAAATTTTATCCCTTTTTTTATATAAAAAAGAAAATTATATATATCCTTTTTTTCTTGTCTGTTCGTATTTTTTTTCTCTAAGATGCATATGAGCTTAGAGTTTTTCTCCATCATCCAGAAAAAAAAATATATATGAGCTTAGGTAGAGACTGCAGTGTGGAATGATCTGATCCGATCGCTCCTTCTTCATGATATGGACCCTACCTGTAACGATCGAAAGGCACTTGTCTTGTTTTTCCGATCTCAATCCTTCACAAGATATATGGACCAGTCATTTAATTATAGCTCTCAGATGGAAACAAAAAGGGAAGTAGTAGAAGTTGCTATCTTACTACTTCATATTTTAAAGATTTTTTGAGCTGTGGTTTTTGTATATATAGCTGGGTAGTATATACGATCAATCGTTCCATGTCACTTTTGTGATAAAAATCTGGTTGAGTGGTGGAATCTGATGTCCCTGATGCTGTAAAGCTTATAATAACAGTGATTAATAAGCAGTCTGCCTTTTGTTGTCCGACGAAGTGGAAAAGGTGATCAGTTTACTTACAAAAAGGAAAGAAGAAAAGAAAAGCTACACCAATAGCTCTAAGAAGCCGCAGTTCATGAACATGCTGATTAGTCTCCTTAATAATCATTTTGTAGAAGTTTACTCCGGCTAGACTGTTATCCTATTGAGGTGCGTGGCTTTGATCAGTCCAAATCATTGACACGTGCCAGGCAGAAACTTTGCATTATTGCATATATTGGGCAGTCAAGGAGAGTAATATCCCTCCCATATCTTATAGAAGGCGCTCGAAACAAGTGCTAGTTTAATAACTTTGCTCGCCAAAGAAAACACGGAACCGTCACTGTTTCTGGTCAAATAAGATAAGGCTATCACTTTCATCTGTTGCCAATAACTCTTTATAATACCCGTATCTGTTGAGAATATGAGGCGAAAAGTACTAGTAGTAGCTATTCCTATTGCACATTTGTACTGAAACATTTTAAGATAAAAATTCTCCACATTTAACTGGGTACTCTATTTAGCTCATACTGTTAGTTTATTTTTATTTATTTATTTTGCTCTGGCTTGTTAAGGTCGCTGTGATTGCTCCAAATGTCCCGGCACTGTATGAAGCTCATTTCGGCGTCCCCATGTCTGGAGCGGTGGTGAACTGCGTAAACATCAGGTTAAACGCCGAGACAATTGCCTTCCTCCTTGACCACTCAGTGGCAGAGGTCGTCATGGTGGACCAGGAATTCTTCACCCTAGCTGAAGAGTCCCTGAAGATACTGGCCGAGAAGAAGAAATGGTCGTTCAGGCCCCCGATCCTGATCGTCATCGGCGACCCGACCTGCGATCCGAAGCCTCTGCAGTACGCTCTGGGGAGAGGAGCGATCGAGTACGAGGAGTTCCTGAAGACCGGTGACCCGGAGTTCGCCTGGAAGCCGCCCAAGGATGAATGGCAGAGCATCGCGTTGGGTTACACCTCCGGGACTACTTCGAGCCCCAAGGGCGTCGTGCTGCACCACCGTGGCGCCTATGTCATGGCGCTCGGTGTCGCCATGGTTTGGGGGATGCCTGAGGGAGCTGTGTACCTGTGGACTCTGCCCATGTTCCATTGTAATGGTTGGTGTTACACTTGGGCAATGGCTGCGATGTGTGGAACCAACATATGTCTTCGCCAGGTATGATGTAGCTCTGCTCTTTCATAGTTCTGATATAGTTGGCAATTAATGTCTGCAAAATCAGGTACTAAACTTACTAATGTGTATCGAATGCAAATTATGCCTGAATTGCTAAGTTGGATAGACAGAAAATCATATGTAGTTGATCTCTTTTGGGAAGGGGGGTGATTTCATTTTATCCATAAAATTTGTACTACGATCTCAATATTGAAATGTGTTTTGCTTATGCAGGTGAGTTCAAAGGCGATATACTCTGGCATAGTGAACCATGGAGTGACACACATGTGCGCCGCGCCGGTCGTCTTCAACAACCTCATCAACGCTCCGGCGAGCGAGACCTTCCTGCCGCTCCCGCGCGTGGTCAACATCATGGTGGCCGGAGCCGCCCCGACGCCGTCGCTGCTCGCGGCGCTGTCGATCCGCGGCTTCCGCGTGACCCACACGTACGGGCTGTCGGAGACGTACGGCCCGTCGACGGTGTGCGCGTGGAAGCCGGAGTGGGACAGGCTGCCGCTGGAGGAGCGGTCGCGGCTGCACTGCCGGCAGGGCGTGAGGTACGGGGCGCTGGAGGGCCTCGACGTGGTGGACCCGAAGACGATGGCGCCGGTGGCCGCCGACGGAAAGTCGTACGGGGAGATCGTGATGCGGGGCAACGCCGTGATGAAGGGCTACCTGAAGAACCCCAAGGCGAACGCGGAGGCGTTCGCCGGCGGGTGGTACCACTCCGGCGACCTTGGGGTGAAGCACCCCGACGGGTACATCGAGGTGAAGGACCGGATGAAGGACATCATCATCTCCGGCGGGGAGAACATCAGCAGCCTGGAGGTGGAGAAGGTGCTGTACGCGCACCCGGCGGTGCTGGAGGCGTCGGTGGTGGCGAGGGCGGACGAGCAGTGGGGGGAGTCGCCGTGCGCGTTCGTGACGCTCAAGGAAGGCGCCGACAGCTCCGACGAGGCGGCGGTGGCCGGCGACATCATGCGGTTCTGCAGGGAGAGGATGCCGGGGTACTGGGTGCCCAAGTCGGTGGTGTTCGGGCCGCTGCCCAAGACGGCGACGGGGAAGATCAAGAAGCACGAGCTGAGGACCAAGGCCAAGGAGCTCGGCCCCGTCAAGAAGAGCAGGATGTGAGCTCCTCTTTTGCCTCTGCACTCGGCTGGTTGCTGTCGTCGTTGTGTTCTTCGGATAAAAGGATTTGGGTTGCAATGCTGTTGTATGTAAACTGTTCCGTCAAAACTGATGTCCCCATCGCGTTTGTTTCTGCGCTCGCGGTGACCCGGCGGGGGGGGGGGGGGGGGGGGGGTGTGCAAAGAATAATGCGACGAGACCCAGCAAATTACGTGCCCAAACGAGGCTTTCGTTTCGTCGTGCCGTGCTGATCTGACTAGCTTGACTTGATCCAGGCGAGATGGAGAGTCGCGTGCTGATGCTTGCGTTGCTCGTCCCGTTCTGACCATGTGGATGGACGAATCACCCGCTCACCGGCCGCAAAACGCAAATTGCTTGGATTTGTTCGTGGTGGCGTGACGAGGTGACACCATGACAGCGCGGCTTGGCAGCAGGCGTAGAAATTGCGGTTTCTTCGACGCGAGTCGCGGCCTCGCGGGTCGCTCCTCCGTTTTTATTCCTGGGCCGTTGCCGTTGGCTGCTGCGTACTGAGAGAGTTTCTCCGTGATGCTCACTGGCAATGTTTGGCAAATGGAAAAGGGAAATGATTTTTCATTCATCTTTAAATTTAACCATTTATTCTTCCTCCTCCATTTAGTTTCAACAATTTATTCATTTCCTAATCTTAATCTTACCTTCCATTTTCCATTATCCAAACACACAGAGTTGTCTGCATCCGTACAGCGGTCCAGGGCTTGAGATAGGACAAAAGTGGCCGGCGAGTCAATGGAGAAAGTCAGAAAAGCTAATCTTTTGATGACGAACGGCGCGCACTGGATTAGGAGTACTCAGTACTGTTTTGACTTTAGAGGTTGGTGTGCCATTGAGGGAATGTGACCAGCGGCATATACTCCTCTCCTGAGTTTTGGTCCTCGAGACCTCGACTCACAGCAAGTGGAGAAGTGTTATCTTTCCGTCTAACATGCATTCTATCTGCTATCATACTCCCTACCATCTTAAAATAAATTAAAACTTTTATAACTTCTAACAATATTGAGAAACTCCCATAATAAGTACCATTTTTAATGGGTTAGTAAAGATTATTGTTCGAAAAAAAAAGTTATATGTCCTTTATTAAATGGGTGTGGTTAATAGTGGGATACTGGTTCGGATAAGATACTAAGATGGAAGAAATTTAAATTGTAGATGATTGATGAACAAAATAATACTACCTCTGTCTCAAAGATAGTAGTTTTGTATTGTTTATTTTCAATGTTTGACCGTATATCTTATTTAAAAATTTTGTTATGATTAATGTTTTTATTGTTCCTAGATGATACGTAAAGCATTAATACACTTTATGTGTGACTATTTTTATAAAAAAATACATAATTTTTTTTAAATAAGATGGACGGTCAAACGTTGGACACGGAAACCCACAACTGCACTTAAAATAGGACGGATGTAGTATTATGAAAAAAAAACTTATTTTAAAATGAATGAAGTAAGCCATACATTAGTTGACTGGCATTTTTATCAGCATGTTTGGTCGGCCAAGCTACAACATTTTGGGATCGTGGTGAAAACGGATAAGATAATATCTGATCCGAATCCGTCCGAAACGAGGATACGGTATGAGCTTTTAGAAATCCGACGGATATGGATGCGGATGCGGATGAGAATATGGTATCTCTAAAATCCGGCGGATGCGGATTATCCGACATTTCTGTTGAATTATCCTATATGACGTTTCATCGGATAATCCGAAATTATCAACACATGTAACCACTTTGTCTGTTGCATATAACATAAGTTCGTCCATCCAATGGCATAATTCATCAATTAACCTAGATTTCTTAGTTTGAGGCTTTTACTGTCTCATATCACACTTGCGTAACTGTATTTTTATATTATGGACATCATGTATTCATGTTGTTTAGCACTTAAGCACGTAATTATTACGATGGGTCGTTTATTTGATTACTATATTATTGTTCTTTGTATTGCTAACTTGATATTGTATTGATTGCATACACGTAACATCCGATAAATTTAATCCGCTTCCAAACCGATTCCGCATCTACTCCGCACTATTTCCGACATCCAAAACAATCCGCTTCTCATCTGCTTAAAAAATATGGTTTAGGGAAAATATGATATGACCACTATCCGCCTGAATCCGCTCCGTTTTCACCCCTATTTTGGATTGTGCAAGGCTGTTGCGCACAGCCCACTCAAACAGCCCGCTGCAGTTGTTGTAGCTACGGCTGTAGCGTAGCTGCAGCTCTGCATTAACTAGTTCTCCTGAATATGCTTTATATATTGGAAATTTATTTATAGCCTTTTTTTTTTCAAATTTAAAAGGTAATATGAACTTTATATCCAGACAACTTTTGATCCTAAACTTCTACAGTGCACAACCATGACAATTTAAAAATAATTTTGGATGACGTGACACTAAAATGCTTATGAATTTTAAATTTTACATGAATTCAGAAAAAGAAAAATCCTTTTAGAATCATTTATAGCTAAAATTGCAGGACTAATAAATTGATCAAACTAGTCAAACTTCAATTGTTGACTTATTTTAAGTACATGTGCCTTATGTAGCTTCACGTACGCCCTTGTAGAACCAGCGCGCCAATATATTGAAACTTCTGTTACAACCAACCTAAACATCTTTCGTACCCATTCAAATACGTGATAAGGTAAGGGTGTACTGGTAGTTTTTATTTTTATGTTATTCATCTTATCTTAACTAGTACAGTAGTACTTAAAAAGCACAGACGTCCTCCTTCCTCTCAAAACCCCCCTCCCCTTAAAAAAACTGCAAAAAGCCATAGAAACATAACCCATCGTGAAAAACAGACATTAAAAAAAGCGAATCATATTTCTATCTTGTGATTCTATTGCAGCGCATGGACATAAATTTAGTAACTCCAAAATCATTTGGAGGAAATACCAGTACGTGTCCACATGGACGGGCCAAGGGGACTCATGGATATTCACTTGAATACTCATATTTTTCAGAAAATAGGATAAGCTATACATTTGTCGTCAGATTTTAATTCAAAAATTTCACATACGTACATATAAGTAGAATTGTGATATAATTTAATTATAAATTGCTTGTAATTATAATGTAACTTAATTATATGTAACTTTTAAAAATCCCTAGGTGACATGCTATTTTCGTGAAAACAAAGGTTTAATGGTAGTGCATGGGTTGTGATTATTTCCTACCATTATACGAAAGTATAATAGTACCGAATCCCCTCACATGAATTTTAAAAGCAAATCGAACTGTTCAATTACATGCAAGTTACAATATAATTACATTGTGATTGTACTATATTTATATTTGTTAAATTTTTATAAAAATAATTGTTGGTACATACTCCATCCATCAAAAAAGAAAACAATCATAACTATGAGCTTATGAGCTTGGATACATACTAGTTCAGATTTATGTTAAGGTTTTTTTTTTCGAGACGGGGTAGTGTATAGCAAAATCGACGTGGGAATACTATTGTACATGTACGGGTGCACTGACAGCACGTGAGACGTGGCCTGCAAATCGTGCATCACACACGGGTGGGTGGCATGGGCGCGCGGGCATTCTCCCACCAATGAAGCGAGATCTCCATACTAGCCGCCGCCCGCCGGCCCCGTCTGCAGGCGACATAAAAAACGTTAAAAAGCAACAGGAATTTCTCAGCTCACACGAGTCACGGACCCACCACCACCACCAGTTCACAACTCCACCACCCCGCGCGAGCTGCCGGCCTCCGCGCGCTCAGCCACTAGAAGCAGAAAACTCGCAAAATCCCTCCCCGCCACGGCCACCACCAGCAAGATCCCTCCGCCAGCCAGCCACCCGCTCCTCATCGCCCTCGCTCGCCGCCACGCTGCTCCAGCGACTATTAAAAAACCATCGTGGCATCATCTCCCATTTGTCCGGCTCACCGGTGCCAAGTCAAAGCCTAGCCAAGCCACGCGAGACGAGTGCGTGCGTGCGGAGAGAGAGAGAGAGAGAGAGAGAGAGAGAGAGAGAGAGAGAGAGAGAGAGAGAGAGAGAGCATCGCGGGGATGGCGGCGGAGAGGGACATCGACGACCTGCCGCGGGGGGGCGCCAACTACACGGCGCTCACGCCGCTCTGGTTCCTGGAGCGCGCCGCGCTGGCGCACCCGGCGCGGGCATCCGTCGTGCACGGCCCCGTGCGCTACACCTGGGCCGACACCTACCGCCGATGCCGCCGCCTCGCCTCCGCCCTCGAGCGCCGGTCCGTCGGCCACGGGAGCACGGTACGGCTCCCACTCTCCTCCCCGTTCTCCGATTCGTTTCCGCCTCCCTCTACTTGTTCCTGTTAGTGTTCTACTGTTCTGTGTGCCCCTGTAATCCTGGAGATGGCGATGTCAAAGTCAAACACCCCAAACACATGAAGCTTCCAAGTTGGCAGCAGTAAAAAGTTAAATTTGTGCCACAACTTTTTTTTCCCCTCAAGAACACAAAAAAAAGACTGCTTCTCAATAAAGGAGCAGCATATTACTGCGAAATCACTTTCAGTTTCAACGCAGCAACTATTTCTCCATGAAGGTGGGAGAAACACTGCAGCAATCTACTGCCCTTTCACCTCCCAATGCTGGGACTTCATTTCAGTAACATCAGAATCTGCGTACTGAAGAAGCCTTTTGTCAATTTGAAATCATGTATCAATAAACCTTTTTTATACGGATGCCATTATACTGGCAGTTTGGACTTTGGAGCATTTGGATTAACACAAATAACAGGATTTTTAAAGACTATTACTATCAACTATCAAGCATGAGTTTGCCATGGTAATCCATGGCGGACCAAGAAGAAATTTAGAATATCTTCACATGATATGCATGATAGATCCTGCCCTACTGTTTTCCTTAGGCCTGGTTTAGTTCCCCAAAATTTTTTCCTAAAAACATCACATCGAATCTTTGGACACATGCATTGAGCATTAAATATAGATTAAAAAAAACTAATTGCACAGTTAAGGGGGAAATCATGAGACAAATCTTTTGAGCCTAATTAGTTCATAATTAGCCAGAAGTGCTACAGTAACCCACATGTGCTAGTGATGGATTAATTAGGCTCAAAAGATTCATCCCGCGGTTTCCAGG